CAGCAAAGCACGGCTTTGTTGTCAAACAAAACAAGACAGAAAATTGTATATTTCCACAAGAAGATCCCCAAGTCTGAGAAAACAACAGACTTCCCCACCAGTTCATGAGATACCACCTTAGTATTTATCAGCTCTACTGATACTTTAAGGACTGATAAAATCTGCATCTTCAGGGAGGTAGACTGAGGGACCTTTAGTGCATGTGTAAATTTTGCCATCACAAGAACAAATCTTATGATTTCCAGAAGTAGAAAAAGGAGGCCAGTAGGCATGAAGTTGGGTAAGGTTTTTAGGAGTGTTTGCAGATTGTACAGCAAGCTCCACTTTTGAAGCATCCTACTTGGACTTGAGAGGCTTTCTGTCATGATGATAGAACTGGCCCAGCTGGGAGACAGAGAACGACCCAGAGCCCGATGTCAGAAGTGGCCTTGGTGAACATTTGTGTCCACTAGCTACTGAACATGTGTGCAGTAAGACATCTCAGTTTGCAGATGACACTGAACTCTGCAGTGCCAAACTATAGAAACCAAGGCGTAAATGGTCAGAAGATGGACAAGTGCAAGTTCACCTACGTGGGAGAGACAAAAGCACATATAGCACAAGGGTTGGGGCCTGTGGGCTAGCTTCCATAAAAGATTTTTAATTGTTGGAGAATGTTCCCAAGGAAAACCTAAATGCCATTTTGAAGGCAGTTAAGAATAAAACAGTCGACTTCTACGAGTCATCTTCTTAGAATGCCACTGGGTATCATGGAGACAGGCTGGTGCTGTCGGGAACCCTTCCTAGAGTCCTTGATGTACTGGTTGGGATTTTTTTTTGTTATATGGCACCATTTTCCAGAAGGGATTGGAAGCTGGTTACATAAGTTACAAGGGTAATGGGGTAAGGAGGGGTTGTTTTAGAGGAGGAGGCAGGTGAAGAGGCATGGCCTGCAGCCTTACCTTACAGGATTGCCCTCCTCTTCCGGGCCCTGGCGCCCATCTCTGCTGCTACCAAGACAAAGGGGAAACCCTGTTCTTTATGCAGAGGATGCCACCGGTCCCTGCACAGACCTGAAGAGGGCATCATGTGGGCACTGACCAAGGGCATGGAGATGACTTCACTGGTTTGGCCCCAGTGCCTGGACTGAACAGCATGGCAGGCCTGGGGGCTCCAATGATGCCTGAGGAGTTGCTTCTGGAGATGCAGCTTGACCCAAACACAGAGCTCTGTGTGGCTGCTAGATGGTCCCACCTGAAAGTGTTCTCTTCAGGCCACACCTAGTTAGTCCTGAAGAGAGAAAGTGAGGTCCCACATACCGTGTGAAAACCAAAGGAGCTGGCGGGAGTTGCTGCTCCAGGAGCAGAGCCTGGCAAAGTCCTCACCAGAAAGGACAGCTTGCCCATCCAGAGAGACAGCAGGAGTGCCTGGAGGGCCTCCCACATCTCAGCGCTCACCCAGGCCTGGTGGAGAGCCCAAGTTCTGCATCGAGGGCACGCCGGACATGCTTCGGGACCATTTACTTCTCAGCGTGGATGTTAACTGATGGACTTCAGAGGGAAGCCAGAATAACAGCAGTAAGTGCCATGACGACTGCACACCAGTGGGTCAGAGTGGTCACTGGGGATGGAGGGATTCGTCCAGGGATGACAGGGGGCAAAGCCAGGAGCAGAACCCAGGTGGCCTGCTCTGGAGCCAGCGCTGCAGCCAGGACACGTCTGAGAGCTCAGCACATCCTCTAGCCAGGGGAGCGCTGGGAGCCTCTTCAGTAGGCTGCCTGCAGAACCCCGTCCCAACTCTGTGTTGCTCCAGGGTCACACAGTGGCTGCGAGATCAGAGGCTGGATGACCTTTCATCTTTCATAGGCCACTTGCCCTGACTCCCTCTCTGCCTGTGTTAGCTGCACAATCAACAAGACCACAGATCATGGAAGAACAGAGATGCAATGGAGATGGAAGGGGAGAAGCCACAAGAAGGAGCGAGGAAAGCGAAAGGGTGGGAAGAATGGGAGCTCTGTTTGGCACTTGCTGGAGGAGGCTAAGGGTGGCACATGTGCCTGGACAGCAGGGGCTCCGCACATTTCACTGCTTTCCCTGGGCCTCGGAGGCAGGGAAGAGGGGCCCTGAGGGCCAGAGGGGATCCTTTCACACACCCGGGCGTCGTGCTAAGCATAGCACTGGTGCCCAGAGAGGGGAATGACTGAGCAAAAGCATGGGACCCGTCGCCTCTCTTCAGAGTAAACACGGAGCCTCCTCCCAGTGTGGTGCGCCTCTCTGGTGGCTCTGTGGACATGTCCTTTCCTCTTTTCATGAGCATCCCTTCTCCCTGTGCCCGCCCCTACACAGCCTAAGCACTGGGATATGGGTTCGCTTGCATAACAGGTAATAGCAGGCGTTTCCTCGTCCTGTGACAGGACATCCTGGCGCCCTTCAGTCTCTCCCGACTGTTTAAAACAGGCCTGAGCACAGGAAAATAACCCAGCTCTAAAATTAGCAGCTGATAGAAGAAGCACATAGCCGCTCTCTGTCCTGTTTGTCAATGAAACAAGTCTAAACAGGGCCAAAATGCATTTCCTTTTTGGGCAAAACAGACCTGTCGGGGTGATGGTTGGACACCAAGGGGGAGAGGTGACCTCTGGGGACAGGACACACCATTCAAAATGCCCAGCGCCCCTGCTTGCCGCTTCTGGTTTTCTCCCCTGGGCTCCACCTGCCTGATAATCTTTGAACAGAGCCTGCTCCAACCTTTTCAGAGGTTGTGTGTGCTCACCTAGAAGCAGTCAAGAGAGAGTGCATGATACCCCTCCTGTCACCACCCTTCCTGACCAGGACAGGCCCTCAGGGACCTCCAGCTGCACTCATGGGGGTATTGCCAGGCAACTCGATTTTAGTTAAGTGGTATGCTTTCTCCTATTTCAATTTTTTTTTAATGTGTTATTTGAAACAACACTATCTTGTCCTGAAATAAGAAGTTTGCGGGAAGCAAGCTGTCATTTTTGATATGCCAGATCCACAGTATTCTCATAACAATTCCAAGTAAGAGCCTTGAGATTTATTAAGAAATATATGATCAACTTGATTATTCCGCTTGAAGGAGTTATTTTCAGAATCAGAAGCTAATGCCTTTGCTTTTTTTATGCCACTAAAATAGGCTTGATTTAACCCAGCATTTCCCATCACATTTTCAAAATCTTCCATTTCCTCCTTTAAGGGATGGAATTTCAGATAGTCACATGTGATAGCAATTGGTGGTTTCAGTAAGGAAAACTGTTTCTCTGTTTTATGACCCTAAGGTCAGCGGAAGGTAACACCAGTAACTTTCCTAAACCAGTCCCATCATTGGGAATGTTGTGTTTTTACCCATAGTAATGGAGGAGGGGAGGAGGCAGAACTGATCCCAGGTCACATTTCATCTATCATTAATTCACATAATCACCTGGGGAGGGGGCAGAACTTATCCCTGATCAAAGCTGGGTCAGCTGAGACTCTCATAGGCTCAGTACCCGACCAAGCTCCCCTGATGGTGACAGAGCCAGGACACAGTTCCTGTCCTCTGGTCCTCGAGATTCCCTCCCTTCCTGCCTCTGCCCAGCTGTGGGGAAGTGACTTGCCCAGGACCCTGCTGTGCTATTAATAGTGCTCAGAGAGCCTAGTGTGCTGATATCTGCCCTCCCAGCCTCCCCCAGGACACTTTCCAGCACATGAATACCCGCCCCAGCCTGCAGCCTCATTCATTTCTCAAGGGAGATTAAGAGCCTGGGTTCCATTTTTCCTAGAATGATTTGTCCCAGACTTCCTGCCACTTCCCTGTGGTAGCTGCACATCCAGCGTGGGAAATGCTGCCACTCTGCACCGAGAAGAGGCTGACAGGGAGGCTAAACAGGGCCGTGCTTGGCTGTGGGCTGCTGTGTGGTCCCTTCGCCTGTGCTTCTGTCTGCATGGACTCTGGGTTGCCTTGTTGTAGTGAGCAGCAAAAAACCTGAACTTGCCCCAGGTCCTTAAAACAGTCAGCCAGATGGGGCAGCTGGGGGGAGGCAAAAAACAATCAGAGATACCCTGCCGGTCATGAGGGGTCATGCTGGACAGCCACCATGGTGTCCCCTACTTGTCTGGAACTCTCCAGAACAATTCCACAGGTCACTTATGACAACTCCATCACTCTTAACCTTCTGAGGATGCAAGGTGTGCCCTTTCCCAGGTGGCCCCAACCTGGCAGCAGGTGGTGGGGTCAGACTGTCAGAGAAGGCTCCATGCACTGATGGCCCAGTACCCATGAGGCCAGACCTCCTGGCCTCCCAGCAGGCCCTCCTCCCACCGCAATGGCTCAGGGAGCTGGGCCCTCATTACAGTCTGGCCGTCTGCATCTGTGTCCAAGCAAGCAGAGGTGTGTGCACACGGGTACAAATGCAGGCACCTTACTGTCTACCCAGCAGTGTGGAACGTGCAAGTTCTCCTCACTGTGGCTTGCACTGCTCACAGGAGGGAAGCTGTGTGTATGACAGAGTGTGTACCCTGATCCCTGTCTATACTCCTGGCCTGTTAGCTGGGGAAGGGGTGGAGAGTGGGGGCAGGCTTAGGCTTTCCTGCCTCTGCCCAGTGCAGACTTCCCTGGCCGAAGCATCTAGGCAGGTGCATGACCTGGGCTGGTCCACATAGGCTGCAGAGAAGCCGATCAGATATCAGGCCCCACAGACTTGGAAGAGCAAAGCACAGCACACTAGTGTGACATCTCAGTGTTTAAAGTGGAAAAGGGTGTAACAGAGACACGAAGCCAGGTGGCGGCATCCTTACTGCTCCCTGGCGTACGTGTGCTTGTCTTACTCTTGCCCACAGGGGCAGGTGGGGAGGGAGGATGCCCCATGGGGTCTCCCAGCAGCTGGCGGCCACATTCAGAGGTAAAGGCTGCAGCTCTCTCTCAGGCCACCAAAGGCTCCAGGCTTCTCTCATGACCCCAAAAATCCACACAGGCCCACAGCCCCTACAGGGTGAGAGCGTGGCTGCCCTGCCTGCCTGGGTACTTACTTGCCAGTTGGAATGCAGCAGCCATGGCCTCCTCCCAGCACGGGGAGTCGGGTGACATCAGGGACAGGCCTGTCAGCCCCAGAACAAAGGTGAGCTGACCTGCGGCGAGTGCTGCTGTGGCCACCAGGTTGCAGGCGCGCATCATGTCGAACTGCACTGCAGGCGGAGAGGGAGAGAGCAGGCAGGTGGTCAGTGCAGGGAAGCTCTCAGGAAGGTGGATTAGATGCCCCTGGCCTTGCCGGCCTGCCACTTGTTTTCTTGGTCTCGGCCATACCTGTGAAGAGACACTTGGCACGTGCAGTGCCTTCTCTGGGCAGAGCCTTCTGGAAGCATCGTGCTCCCCCACCCCTGCTGGCCCGCGAGCTGAGCCCTAGTGCTGCTGTCCTACTTGTCTTCCTGACCACAAAGGGCTCATCACAGCCCCTTGTCTTGGCTGCAGTTGTCGCGTATTCGTGGGATGGGCCCTTCTCTGTGATTCTGGCTTCCTGGAACAGCCACTCCTCTCAGTTTGACACAGTCCATGAAGGCACTGATGTGGGGGGCTGGACACACAAAGGGAGAGCCACAGTGACAGCACCTGTCTTCCTCTGCACCTCGCTGGAGTTCCTTCTGCCAAGTATTACTTTACAACTTCTAATGATGGGGCACTGCTCAAGCAGGCCCCCCCCCCATGGGCCTAGCTCCATGTTAGCTGCTGTTTAGTGTGGTTGGCTTTCTGATCCCCAAGGGGTTAGCATGGCTATCCCCACCCTCCTGACAGGTGACGGGCTTGGGACCGTGAGGAGATGTGGCTTGTCTGGGCATCTCCCAACAGCAAGGGACAGAGCAGGAGCCAGACCTGAGTCTGAACCCAGTGCCCCCCGCCCAGTCCTTTTCAATCCTGGGTCCTCCTGGGCATCCCTGCTTCTCCTGCCCCAAATCCCTCACTGCCTGTGGTCAGAGCGGATGCCTGCATTTGCACCTACAGGCAACCTGCACCCAGCCTTCTCTGCTGCCCACCCACACCCTGGTCCCAGGGGCCGGGCAGGCAGGGGGTATGAACACAGGTCAGAGGAAGCCAGCCTTCTGCGGGTGAACCACAGGGGGACTGTCGCCACAGGGACCAGGGCTGGTCATGCCTCTGTTGCAGAGAAGTTTTGTTCTCCCTCAAATAACATCCTACACGGAAGCCTAAACTAAGTAGTGGCAAAGCCAGCGTACACTTATAATCTTCAGTTTACTCCAGAATAGAACTACACAACTTTGAAACCAGGGCTGTACCTGACGGTAACAGCTTTACATAATCTTCAGCCTCTGTCGTTTATGTATCTTGTTTTGATTAAACAATGTTTAGGAAATTCATAAAGTTAAGTTGATCCAAATACTAACACCTACCTTCATTTATGTGTTTATTTAGAGTTGGGGGTCTCACGCTGTCTCCCAGGCTGGAGAGCAGTGGCTCCTGGGCTCAGGTGATCCTCCCATCTCAGCCTCCCAAGTAGCTGGGACTACAGGTGTGTGCCATCACACCTGGCTACGTTTTTTATTTCTTGTAAAGACGAGATTGTTACCCAGGCTGGTCTGAAACTTCTGGGCTCCAGCCATCCTCCCACCTTGGCCTCTCAAAGTGCTGGAATTACAGGCATGAGCCACTGCGCCCAGCCAGTAACACCTTTTTAAACAGCTCGTCTTGAAATCTCAAGGTATTTTTCAGGTCATTCGATGAAGGAGTGTAAGGGAGAAGTCAGGCCTTGACTTTCAGGACTGGGTCGCTGGAGATGCATTAATCATAAACGTAAGAATCAAGTGGGAAGCAGCAGACTCTCCTGAGAGCCCTGAAGGTGTCAGGCCCCAGGGGTGACTGCTGCACTGTCCCAGGCAGTGGCAGAGGTGGGCACAAGGCACTCTGCCTCCTCCTCAAGGAGTGTCTGTGGGAAGCCCGAGTGGGCAGAAGCAGCAGGGCAGGGCCTGCACATGCATAGTGGATGGTTCATGGCTTTGCTGCATATTGGGGTGCAGGCTGCTTCACCTTTCTGAGTCTTTAAGAGGTTAGAAGTCCTTGTTGGAAACACTGCTGTCAGTATTGTCAGTTACATATGGTTCAACCTAATTGTTTATTGAGATACAATTTGGATTCATATACCAGTTTCCAGGTCCTGAGCAGACACGTGTGCTCCCACTTGGCCCTCCAGCCCATGCCTGCCTTTTCCTGCCACTTGCTGGGCTCTGCTCCCTGCCCCCTGTATCTGCCTCACCCTCTGCTCAGCTGACATCCTCAGAGGCTGTCTCCCACCCTCCCTGAGGGATATCCTGGTGACACATCCTATGACAGTGCTGGGCATACCATGGGCAGCTCTGCCCTGGGGCCAGTGGCGTACATCCCTGGCTCATGCTGTTGAAGTCCTTCTCCAGCTCTTGCTCTGTCTGTGCTCCTCTGCAGTCCTCTTAGTTCCTGAAGCCCAGCCCTCCCAGACTTCCCATACCTGCAGACCAGGGATGGACTCCTGTGTTCCCCCATCCCCCTAATGAGCCGAGCTGGTGGGTAACCTAGAGTGGAATGAAGCTGTCCAGGTGTCACGGAAACTTCTTCCAGGGCAGCAACCTCTGTGTGCTTCCTGGTTTGTGGCTTTGCTGTTGGGAGTGACTATGTCTGGGTGTCCCTCTACATAGGTGAGGGGCCAGCGGTGGTCTCATCAAAGGACCCTTGGAGGAGAAGCAACTTCCCATGGGCCAGGCTGGCAGAAATGGGGGATGGTGCTGAGTGTCTGCCTAGCATGTCACGGAGTCAAGGAGGCTTTTGGAGGTGTTGTGCTACCTCCTGCCACCAAGGGTCGACCTGTCCTGCCCATTGTATTTCTACCTGCTTCCCTCCTAGGCATTCTCTCCTATCATTCGGGGCAAGGGAGCTCGCTTTTCCAGGATCACAGTCTTCTCCAATGTGACAACTCCAGCCTGGGCTGGCACCCCAACTCTGAGGCCTCCTGGCCTTGTCCACACGCTGTGCAGACACCCCCAAGCTGACAGGAGCTATAAAGAGCTTGTGCACAGTGGCCCAGTGAGCTTTCCAGAGAGAGGAGGAGGGCACGCGCCACTGGACAGGACAGTTACCACTGACTGGCCCCTTGTACCCTTGTGGGTCCCGGTGCCTCTGCCTGGCTGGATGGGGTTAGGGGAGTGGTTTGGCACTGCTGCGGGAGCTCCTCTCACTTGCTCTTTTCTCAGTGAAACAGACACCCTGGTGGGCTTGATGACCAGGTCGCTGAAAGTGCGTGTCTTTAAAGTGACCTCAAACATAACCTCTGAAGTTGCTGGAAACTCTAATACTCCTATGTGGCACTTTACAGAGAGGAAGCAAACAGGGCGCCGGGCAGAGCTGGCTTGCTGACGGGGGCCTCCTGGCCAGGAGAGGCTGGGGAAGGCTGACTTGGCATGGCGTGAATGCAGAGGGACTTGGAGAAAGGAGCAGAGCCTGGGGTATCTAGAAATGCCAGAGTGCAGCAGAGGTGCCCTCAGTCTTGGCGTGGCATCACATAGCCTGCTGAGCCCCAGGGCATGGGCCACAGGGTCCCAGGTGTCCTCTCCTTTCCCAAGGTCTGTGTGGGTGGGTGGGCTGGAGCCAAGGATCCCACTGATGCTGTCCTGGTGCTCTGGTGACCTAGCTTCACAGCTGGCCTGGCCAATGACCACATGCAGTGGGACTGTGCTGTGGGACTAAGACTGTGGGAACTAAGGTCAGCCCTGCTGTCCACATGTCTGGGATGGGCATGTGCTCTGGAAGTTGCTTTCCAAGGGTGATTTGTCCTGTGGAGTCTGGTGTTCTTTGTGATGTTATGTCATCTTAAGCTTAACTATTTCTGTAATTGTTTTTACCATTCATATGACCATCCAAAAGCCTCTGCTGCTCTAAAAGACTGCAGCATGTGGGAGGTATTATCCTGCAGAAGAGTAACAGTACAAAGGGGTGGAGCAGCTGAGATTCAGGGTCCCTTGACTTTTGGCGAGGAAAGACCTGAATGAAGGGCAGGGATGTGGGTGGGCAGGACTGAACTGGAGGAGAGTGGTCTGAGGGGACTGCAGTGTTAGCACAACTGCAGCTGCATGTGTTGGTGCAGGGAGGTTGGATGATCAAGGCTCTCAGGAGCCAGGTGCGGCAAACAGATCGACCCCTGACCTGCCCTCGGTCCTCAGCCTGTCCTCCCAGCTCCCGACCTTCCTGGCAGCTCCTGGCATGCAGCCCCATGCCATGTACCTGTGCCACACTCACCCCTAGAGCCACTGTGCAGGCTCTGCCCCTGTCCCCAGGGTGGAACCACCGACCTGCCAGGAAGGAGCCCTGCTACCGAACGGCCTTCCTCTGAGCCACGCTCCTGCTCCCTGCCCCCCCCACCCCCACCCAGGGAAGCTGTCCAGAGCTGGCGTAAGCTGTTGCCGGGTGCTTGACCTGCTCTTGCGCTGTTCGTGTGCGTGACCCTAGACGGTCGCACCCTGACTACTGAAGGTGTCACATGGGTCACATGGCATCTGGACAAGCCCAGGTGCTCGGCTGACTGTCTTTATTAGGGTGGGATTGTACGTGTATGTGCGATGAGAGGCATCGTGTGCAGGGTGTGGAGACCCTGGGCCCACCCAAGAGTAGGGGTGAGCCCCTCCTTAGGGAGCACCAGGCTCTGGCTCCTCTGCCCCAAATTCAGCTATCCATTCTTCTATTCATGTGCCACCTTGTTTCAGAAAAGGAACTTGGGGACAGAATGCACAAAACATGGAAGGATGAAACAATATGTAAAACGAGACAGAGAACGCAAGGACCGGAAAGTGAGATTCATCCTGGATGTAGGTTGTGAGGGGACCTCAGGTCTCACAGGGAAAAAGAGCCCCCGATTGGTAGGTAAAGTTCTGACCGCTGCAGGCTACAGAACAGCTGGCTAGCAGGGAAATCCCCACGACCCCCTTGGGGAGTGGCACGGTGGAGGGGCCTGAGCCAGGACTGGTCCCCCCAGCCCCAGCCTGCTTGGGATGCCCAGAGACACAGGGTGCCCCGACCAGAGTTCAGAGCATCCCACATGCTTGTCCCTCGTCCCTCAGGCAGGCCCCTGCTGATGTTTGCAAGTGACCAGAGCTGAATAATTTTGACTCCGTGTGCTCCACGGGGCAGGACCTCAGGGCTCAGAGCTGGAAGGACATGTCCACACCAGCCTGTAGCCATGTCTGGAGACCCTAAAGATGGCCTGGCGCTTGCATGGAAGTACAGGGTGTGACGCGTGATGCATGTCCTCTCCTACTCCAGACTGGCCTTGGGATGGAATTGTGAGCAAACCAACACTCAGACCCAAGACACAGACAGATGTGGCCCATTGCATGTGTCGGATGACTTTACAAGGAATGATGGCCTGGGTGTGAAGGAGGATGCTAGGAGCCGACATGACTCCTGGAACGGCCCAGCCTGAGCTGCCGCCTCCTCCCCAGGATCCTGACATCCAGGCCCACTTTGGTTGTAGTGTGATTTTGCAGGAGGGGCCATACACTGGGCTCCATATGAGGTGGTAGCAGGTGGCCGCTCTTCACCAGGTTTGGGCCACGGGTGCATGCCAGCTGGAGTAGCAAGTGTGTTGCTGGGCTGTGTGGACAGCGAGGCTGCCCAGCAGGGAGGGCAGAGTTGAGGCTACTTGGAGAGGCTGGGACTGGTGCGAATGAGCTTCATCAAGGGGAGGAGGCGAGAGGCAGGAAGAAACCAGCATGGCCAAGAGAGATGCCAGGTGTGTCCCCAGCTTGGGGCCTTGGGGGATGGAGCCACAGGCCCGTGCTCACTCCTGTGGGCAGGATCTGCAGATTCCCCTCAGGAAACGCCAGCTTAGTGCTGCACTGCTTGTATCAAGTTGTGTCACACGAAGCTTGTTGGACTTTTGTTGGCAGCCACAACTGCCCGTCGAGCCTGTTCATTTTCCTCAATTCCATCAATCTCTTTCATGGGCAGCTTCCCACTGACATTTCCGTTGTTTGAACAAATACTCGTAACTCAGATTCACCAAGGGTCAGCCACCTGTATGTGCTATGTTAATTGCAGGAAGATATTTACAGCATTGTCTAGGGAGCTGGTCAGGTGGTCAGGGAGGAGTAGCAGATGCAGGGCAGGTGAGCAGGAGGCAGCCCGGGGTGCTCTGCAGATGGGCCCGGGAGTGTCTTGCTGGCCTGAGGTGACCAGGCCTCAGCAAGTGGACAGCAGGGGAATGAGACATGGCTGCTCCTCAGGCAGTTCCACTGGCCCGTGACTAGTCCACTGCAAGAGGCAGCAAAAGGAAGGGTGCCAAGGCTTCCAACTGTCCAGGGACCTGGGCCACCTGGACACCTTGGGCGTTGCAGGTGGAGTGGACACACAGTTGTGGTTTGGAGGCTTGGAGGCTTAGAGGCTCAGGTAGGAGGCTGATGGGGGACTCTTTCCCCAGGAGGGTGCCCTGTGGGGCCGCGAGGCCAGTGCTGGTCCTGGAGGACAAGAGAGCCCTTGCCCCACCTCAAGGGCCATGCAAAGCTGCAGCCCCCATGAGAGGCCCTGGCACAGAGCCGCATGGTCACTAGCTCTTGTCTGTCATCAGAACAACAAAGAACTTAGAAAGAGGCTCTCTGCCAACTGGCCATCCAGAGACCCAAGCTCAGCTGTGTTCACCTGACTTTCCCTAAGACACCTGAGTTCTGGAAGCTCATAGAAAATTTGAAATTATTCATATGCTTTGGTCTTTTAAAAATGAGGGCCATTGCTCTCTGCTTCTGAGGTACACAAGAGGAGGTGACCTGTCCAGGCTGTGTAGTGCAGCCAGGAGATGTGAGCTGGACAGAAGGGGCTGGATTCCCCTGTTACGTTGGCCAAGCCATGTGCTTTCTGCAAGCCTTGGTCGTTTCTTTGCCTGTGAAATGGGGATGATGTTCCCCACCCGGGGTCCTAGCACAGGCAGGCCAGGAGCAGGGCTGTGTTGTTGAGTCACCCCGGCCTATGTTACTCTAGGTCTTCCAGGAACACTCTTGAAAGCATCCAGCAGAGCCATTGCCTAAGCCTCTTGTTTTCTCTAGGACTGGTGTTGTCTTCAGAACAGAAGGACAGGTCCGACACCGAGACTCTGTGAGGTCTCCGGTAGAGTGTAAGGTGCCTGTGCGTCTCTGGTAGAGTGTAAGGTGCCGGTGAGTTGGACCCTTGCCAGGCATTGTTTGGGGAGGCCTGCTTAGATGACACATGGGAGCAAGTGTCTTCCTGGGTATTCCACCTTTCCCTCCTCTATACTCAAAAGTGTCTGTGCTTTTTTTTTTGACTCCTAAATACATGAGTTTATTTTTAAATATAGAGATATTCTCTTATGTACCATGGTACGGTCATCAACTCTAGGAAATTTAGTGTTGATATGTCCACACTTTTATTTTTTTCTCTTTTTTTTTTTTGTTTTTGTTCTTTTTTAGTTGGAGTCTTACTCTGTTGTCTGGGCTGGAGTGCAGTGGCACACTCATGGCCACTGCAGCCTCGACCTGCTGGGCTTAGGTGATCCTTCTGTCTCAGCCTTCCAAGTAGCTGGAACTACGGATGCACGCCACCACACCTGGCTAATTTTTGTGATTTATTGTAGAGATGAGGTCTCACCAAGTTGCCCAGGCTAGTCTTGAATCCCCCGGGCTCAGGCAGTCCTCTCGCCTCGGCCTCCCAAAATGCTGGGATTATAGGCTGAGCCACTATGCCTGACCTGTTCACACTTCTTAAGTCAAGTTCCCTACTTCAGGGTAGTGAGTAGACCCTGGCAATGAGCTGTGGCCATGAGGCCCAGACATGCAGAGGGGGGATTGTGGAACTCCACCCAAGTCTTCTCTGCAGCCACTCAGTGCTCCCCATCCCCTTCTGAAAGTCCTATCTAAAGACAGTCCCTGGGAATCTCCCTCAGGCTGCTCTCAGCTCTAAGACCCTGACAACCGTGGGAATGAAGTCTGGATTCAGCTGCATATTTTTAAACTTCGTGTTTATTTTGCTCATTGATAGTATTTATTTTCAACCAAGGAAAATGCCTTTCCTTGATTTGGTTAATATAGCTGTCCTTTAGTGATGGGTAATGGGGTGGGGAAGCCTGCCAGCCACCTCGGCTGAATTCCCTGTGTAAAGGAGCTGGAGGCAGAGTCCACATTGAACAGGAGAGAGGTGTGTGCCCTTGCTCACTGGGGAGAGGACAGGCATGGAGCCTGGGTTCCCTGGAGACCTGGTATCCCTCCTCTTGCCTACCCGGAAGCCACCCTCAGAAGAGAGCAGGGCCTAGGCCTCGGCATGGCCTCCCCACACCCACCCACCAGGCATGTGTCTCGTGTGTGCTGTGTGCTCCCGAGCCCGGCCACATTGAAGGGGAAAGATGAGCGAACTTACGTTTGACGGTGCCTCGGGACTCCTGGAAGCCGGCGGCCTCAGAGCCCCAGCCTAGAGCCTCACAGTCGTGTGCGTCCACCTGGCCGGCCCTGGCCCCGGCCCTGGCCCCAGCTCCGGGGCGCGGCCCTCCCCGGGCCCTGTCCAGCAGCCAGCAGGACCTCCACAGCCCCACGCTGCGCTTGCGCCCGTCCTCCAGCGTCTGGCACACCCAGTTGGGCGTGAAGGCCGCCGCGTTGTTGAGGATGAGTGAGACGAGGGCCACCAGCACAGCCGCGGCCACGAGTCTCTGGACAGTCATTGCTGACCGCTGGTGCTGCCGCTTCTCCGGAGAAACCCCAAGTCCCAGTCAGCTGCCGCGCATCCAGAGAGAGCCGAGACACTGCTAGGGGTGGCTAGAGAACATCACCGCTCATCCTCGGAGCCGCCAGCGGCTCCACCAGGCCAAGGGGTCATGCGGAGGGGCAGTGTGGGGAGAGGCCCATAGGACGGGCCCGGGCGGGCCGCCTCGCTGCCGGCCTTATCCTCCCTCCTGCACCTGGAGCAGGGCCCCGCCTGTGCTGAAGCAGGCCACCTCGAGGCCCATCCCTGGGAGGAGACAGGCGCCGGAGAGAATCCAGAGTCGTGAGCCCGCCGTCTTTCTGGGAAGCAGAAGCCAGAGAGGCCGCTCGGCTGTGCTTCTTCCCCCCTGCAGCGATGGGAAAACAGAAAGCAACTCAGGAGGCAGGCAGCCGCGTAGGAGTTGGGGCCTGGGTCACGCTCTCGCGCACCAGCTGGCTGTGAGCACTGGGATCCAAGCAGGGTAGCTGGAGCAGAGTGTGCCAGGGCTCCTCTCCGCTGTTGGACCAGCCCAGTTCAGGTGCTGCCACCGTGGAGGGCAGGTCCTGGAAAGCAGAGCGAGCGCCTGCGGCAGGGAAGTGCGCGTGCCAGCTTGCGTTCCCGTCTCTCAGCAGAGAGGAAATGGTTGTTTTTGAGGCTGTTTTTGGTGAACTGGAGGGCGTAGCCAACTGCAACAAATAGCAGCCCTGCCACCCAGCCAGACACTAACAGGATGTGTTTCCTGATGGGAAAGGCCGGGGAGACTTCTGAGGCCCTGCTCCAGGCCCACCCCTCTACCGCCCCTCCCACCTTCCTGTCCCAGAGGAGAGGCCAGGGATGCCAGGCACGGGACAGCGCCTTGCCTGTTGCTTTTTAGCCTGATTAGCCACAGAGGCAGGTTCCCGGACTGGCCCCAGGGCCGGGACGTACTGCAGATGCCTGGGGCAGGTGGGACCCTGAGGGACCAGTTGCCTACCCCAGGGTCTTCACAGTCACCCAGCTGTCAGCCACCCCCCCAACCCAATAAGTACTGTGAGCCCATGACGAGGACCTGCCTCGTCACAGGGACCCTGCCCTCAAAGCGGGGACAGGCAGTGCAGGGGTTGCTGGGAGGGCCTGGAGGGAGCGAGCACACCCAGCCCTGGGGGCCAGGACCCACATTCAGAGAACCTCCAGGCCCAGCACTGTCCCTAAGATGGCAAGAAGGCAGAAGATTCTGGGCATGCTCCCGTGGGGCCTGGGCCATGTCTGCTGCTGATGGAAACTGTCTCTCCCACAACTAGAGGAGGGACTGGTACAGACAAGCGGAAGGGTCTGATCCTCTGTGTCTCGTCTCTAGAGTCCCTGAACCCAGCATCCCCAGGGCTCAGAAACTTTGTGAATGCATAAAAGCATGCAAGTGTCACACCTCCTGTCCACTCGTTCAAGGGCACACACTCATGGCATTTGGACAGAGTTCTATTACCAGCCAGTGCTCTGGGACAACAGCAAAGTCTTTGGCCGTTTCCTGTCTCATATGCTACCTCTGCATGGGGCCCTGACCCAGAGGCCACCTGAAGGCCCTCACTTCCCAGGATTGGTCCTTTCAGTCACACATTGACCTGCAGCTCTGTATGTCCACATGTGAAGTTAGGGTCCCCTGCATATCACACACGCATTCCAGTAAGGCAGGAACTGTCCCCAGTCTGTGGTGAATCCTCGGGCCTAAGGAATGTTTGCCCATCAAGCTCCTGAGAGTTCTGCCTTAGGATTGCCTGTGGGAATTTGTAGTAGGTGTGCCGTTGCGTCCCATCTTACTTGCCCTTCTTCCTTGGCTTGTGTCTCAGACAAGTTGCTGTCTCTGTTCTTATTCTTTCGCTCCAGCCCCTCTGTGAGTGAGGAGTCTGATGGAGTGCGGGATGTGGTGATGCCATGTGCCCTTGACTCTCCCCGATGGCTCCAATGGCTGTGGTCTATGGTCCTTCCTGCACAAGGCCCCCTTCTCTGAGTTGGGTTGGGGGTGTAGCATCTCACACACTCAACATTCCTGAACAAATAGAGCCTCAGGTTGCCTTGAAAGGGAAGTTTTCCCAAAAGTTTCCATTAGGAGGGAATCGATTTCCCTCCTTGATTAGCTAAACTGCCGAGTGTGGTGGCTCATGCCTGTAATCTCAACATTTTGGGAGACTGAGGCACGAGGATCGCTTGAGGCTGAATTTGAGACCAGCCTGGGCAACAAAGTGAGACCTCGGCTCTACAAAAATTAGAAAAAATTAGCCGGGTGTCGTGGAGTGTGCCTGTAGTCCCAGCTACTCTGGAGGCTGTCGCAGGAGAATCATTTGAGCCCAGGAGTTTGAGGCTGCAGTGAAATGTGGTCGTGGCACTGCACTTCAACCTGAGTGACACAGTAAGACTTTGTTATGGGGAAAAAATTGACTAAGCCATTTACCTATAGGTAGTCTTTAAATGGCTAATTTCCAATAAAGGCAAGCGCACAGTTTCAAAGCCCAGAGGACATATTTAATTGTCCCTGACCCCCAAGAGGCTCCTTTTGGTCCTTTCTTCAGGCTGAGTGGGGAGGAGGCCACAGCCAGGCTCCCACCCCCTGATGGCAGCACCCCCTGAAGTCCTGGGTCGTAGCTGCCAGCATCACCCATACCCTCCCAGGACTTCTGTCGGGCTGCCAGACCTCCATGCCCTCAGCTATTGCCCCAGCTTCTAGCTCCTGGCAGTTTGGGAGGGGTAAAGCCTGAGAGCAGAATTGGAGTCAGGAGTGACCCTCCTGGGAGGTGACACTGTCCTCAGAGCATCTGGAGCTCCCATGGGGGCTTCCACTGGGGGGACTTCAGCCTCCATGAGGCCCTTCTGACCCCCTGCAACTTGCCGTCTTTAGTCTTTGGTTCTGGCTGCAGCTCCCACATGTGCCTCTGCCTTTCCTGTCCACGACAGACCAGAAGCCTCTGCACAGCACATAGCCTGTCGGGAGAGTGGCCACACAGTGTCTCCACGAGCATGCTGTGTGGGGAAAGTCCAACCGCGAACCCTTCAGGCGCCCACCGTCCCAACACAGAGAAGTCCCAGCAGAGCTTCTGCAGAGCACAGGTCTTTCCAGAAACCAGGACCGTTCTAAGGCCGCTTCCTCTGCGGCCTGTCTTCTTATTTCAGGACCTCTCAGGGCTAGTGAAGTGCAGATGTGAGTGCCTTTCCACAGACTGGCCCAGACAACAGGAAATTCTTGACTTGGACGGGGACTAGGAGGGTGTTTACTTCTTGGAATTTGTGTCAGTTGCATGAACCCCAGAGCTGTCTCGTGGAAGACTGAAGCTCATGCTCTGGATCTAGCCGCTTCCAGCAGGTCTGAGCTCAACTGGGCTTTGCTCACTACAGCCCCAGCCCAGCAGGAAGGGGCCTGTCGGGTCACCCTTAGCCTGCACGTCCAGCCCATGCTTTCAGAGCCTCCCAGGGGAGGCGTACTTCCCAGGATAGAGGGCCCTATGGAAGGCGTTTGAGGTGCTTGTTAGACAGATGCTTTGTCGCACATGTGCCCAGGCAGCCAGAGTACAGCCAGTCAGATCCTGGGCCTGCTCCCTGCTGCCTGCGAGCTGTCTGACACCGGTGAGGGCACACAGCCTTCTGTGGGGGGAGCCAGCTGGGCCACGGGCCAGTTGCCAGGGTTCTTGGCTTACCAAGGTCATTTCTCATTGTAATTGGGTGCAGACAGGAACCATTCATTTTTAAGACAAGGCAGAGGACAGGGAGCCTCACCTGGCAGGTAAAAGGCAGGTCCCACCCCTGTCTAGCCCTTCACACCTGGGCCTCAGGAGAGGGTGAGAATAAACATAGGATATCTTTTTAAAGGTTCCACTCATGTGAAATCATTTGGAACAGGAAAATTAAAAAGATCTCATGTCTAACTAGCATTTTGCTGTTTATGAAGTAGCCATGACATCTCACATGCTGAGCCCTGAGCACCGTTGCCACCTAGGCGTTAGGTGAAATGTCTCTGGACAGTTGTGACGTCTCTTCTGTCCAATCTGTAGAACTTATTAGAGGCTGTGTAGCAAGAACAAAGTGATGCATGGAGACTCAGCAGCATCTTAGAGCGGCCTAGTCCCCAACTTGATATGTGCCCCATGAGAACCTGGGTGGGGCTAAGAGACCCCCTCAGCAGGGGGCCAACTTTGTCTGGGCCACTTTCCCCGTGCACTTAGCCAGCACTGCAGGATAGAGGAGAAAGACCAACTTTGGGTTTCTGCTTTTTATAAAGAATTTTAAATGTGGAGAACATGATTTCTTGCCTGAAGCCCCTGGATGACCAAGTGTCAGAACTGCCTCTGAGGGCAGGTGGGGAAGGAGCCAGGGCTGCCCCATGTGTGCCCAGGGTGGGCTCAGGCATCTATGCCTCACAGCTCCTGCCAGTGATTGGACTTCTGGAGCCAAGAGTGCAAGGAGAGCAAGCTGACTTCCTCAAGAAAGAAGATGGGATAGTGCTGCGGGGGTGCACCCCCACGGTCCATGTGGAGCCATGCATCACCTTTGCCACAGCTCCAAGTGTCCCAGACACTGCCGAGGGGTGTGTGCATGGGTGCTGTGAGGCCCGGGTGTGAGCCCTTGAAGGGTGCTGAGTGTAGGTGGCTTTGAAGGCAGCATGCTCACATCTAGGGCCTGAATGGACGCTTAGAACCCTCCCCTGGGGCCTGCTCCCTGCATAGCCGCACCAGGCCACAGGTGCCCTAGGCTGGGCCGGCGCATGTTGCTATCTCGAGCAGGTCGCTGCTAGAATACACGAGTCTTCCCTGCCCTTTGTCACTCAGTAGCACGTAGCCATCAAATGAACTAGCATCCTAGCAGGCCCCAAGGAAATTCAAAAACATACACAAAGTATACATTGGCTTACAGGAAGGAAGGGCCCTGGACACCCAGCTCAGCCTCAGATTCCCACACCGACATCTGTCCCAGGGGACAAACCCCAGCCTCCCCCAGGCAGTGCGTCTGTGTGAAGCCATTTTCTTTGTGATTCCGTCTGAGTGGGGAAACTGGGGTGTGGGCTGCCCACCCATCAGGGCGCCACTTGTAGCGGGACTGGGTGCCAGCCGCTCACAAGACCCCTCCTTCCCCCCAGCCTTCTCCTGAGATGGGGCCCCTAAGAAAACACCAGCAGCACTTGCCCCGGCATCTTCCCACTCACCAGGATGGTGGACCGCTCCGGGCAGCTCATCCCTCTAGGTCCCTCCGTGCTTCTCATGTCTGACCTGGCTGTGGGAGCAGCCTGTCCGCCTCCCGCAGAGGCTGCTGTGGCTGTGGCTTATCCGGAGGGAACAGCCTGGAATGTGAGAGGATGGCCCAGTGAGGATCCTCTCCAGGCTGTGGGGGTGCTGCCTATGTGCTTGTGAGTGGGTATGTGTGTGCTTTTGGGTGTGTGTACTTGTGAGAGTATGTGCTCATGAGAGTGTGTCTGTGCTTGTGGGTGTTCTTGTGAGTTCTCTGAGAGAGTGTGTGTGTGCTTGTGAGAGTGCATTTGTGTGTGTGCTTGTGTGTGTGCTCATGAGAGTGAGTGCTCTGAGAGCACGTCTGTGAGTGTGTGTGCTTGTCAGTATGTGCTCGTGAGAGTACATCTGTGTGTGTGTGCATGTTCATGAGAGTGTGTTTGTGCTTGAGAGTGTGTTTGCTCGTGAGAGCGCATCTGTGTGTGTGCTTGTGAGAGTGCTTGTGAGTGTGTCAGTGTGCTCTGAGAGTGTGTCTGTGTATGTGCTTGTGAGAGTATGTCTGTGCTTGTGTGTGTGCTTGTTTGAGCACATCTATCCTGCCGTGGTCATCTTGGAATGAGAAGTAGAACATGGTAGAGGAGAGAAGATGCACTAAGTGCACATGTTTCCTTGGCTTTGTCACTTCTCAGTAGTCACACTGTGTTGCTGGTGTAAAAGGGTGCCGTTGTCTGAGGGCTGGGGCCCAGTGTCCCCATTCGAAGATGCAGGCTGGTCAGGGCCTGTGGGGGCTCTCAGGAGGGCAGGCTCATGGTGAACAGTGGATGGCCTCAGAATGAGTCGCCAGAGTCTCCTGCCCAACCCTGCCTGGAGGTCTGGCTGTGAGTGCAGTGCCCAGGGGCAATGCCAACCAGTCAACTCAGTCATGCCAAGACCAGCGATCTACCAAGGAGTTGAGGGTGGAAAGCTGAGGTCAGCGTCAGGAAGGACAGAACACACTGGCAACACTTAAGAGGCTGAAATAACTTCTGCTAGTCTGTGTCTGTGCTCTGTAGAGTGGCCCAGTCGGCTGCTGTGTTCCTTCAGATGCAGGAAACTCACCATGCAGTGAGGGCCATGGTAGTACTGGGCATAGAGGAGCTGTCTTGCCTGTCCCACTCAGGAGCTTGCTCTGCAGAAACTGTCCCTGGGACCCTCCATCCAGCAGGCGTCTAGAATGGGTCATTCTCTCCTGGAAAGGCAGGCCCTGCTCCAGGTTCCAGGGTTGAGTGAGGGTCTGACCTCACCCCCCCCACCTTCTGGCTGCTGGAGGGAGGCCACCTGGGTCTGTGGGCTCCTCCTCAGCTAAGAGCCAGTGGCCGTCTGTGACTAGGTTGTGTGTGCATGTGCGGTAAAGTGGAGCCAGTGTTTGTTGGGCAGACAGATGGACAGAGCGGGGGGAGTGAAGCCGGAGACTGGGACCCCACATGAGACCAGTCTCTCTCCACGGGACCCTGTCTCCCACCTCCCTCACCTTCGGGGTCCAGAGAGTCTTTGCGACGCGGGAATGGCCTCTCGCTCTGGAAACCCCTGCCATGGGACTCGAGATACCTGTCTCTTGCCGCCTTTCCTTCCAGATGATGGGCAGGCGGTGCCTGGTCTCGTCTGTGGTCTTGTGTGTGGGCGGAGGCCCCTCCTGCACATCCCCCTTGGCGGCTGTGCACACCGATGGATGCCAAGGGAGGAGGGCCAGTGGGGCCCAAGGTACTGGGCATGAAGCTCGCAGAGCCCCTCTTCTCTGCCCGCAGTGAGGCTGTCTGGGAGAACATGGCACGCATGTGCGTGAAGACCCGGCGACTGGACGTGGCCAAGGTGTGCCTGGGGAACATGGGCCATGCCCGTGGGGCCCGAGCACTGCGTGAGGCAGAGAAGGAGCCAGAACTGGAGGCCAGAGTGGCTATGCTGGCCATACAGCTGGGCATGCTGGTGAGTCAGCGCCACCCTCAGGGAGGGACAGACTGATGGATGACGCCTCCACTGCAGGACAGAGGCAGGGAGGCCCTCACTCCTGTCATGGCTGGGGCTCCCTTGGGGATGAGGGGGTCCGTCCACTGCCCTGAGCCCGAAGCGCAGAGGGCAGAGGGGTGCCAGTGAGGCCCCTTCTCAACTGGGCTCTGGTGGCCCCAGGAGAGCTAGGGAGGCAGGCAGGCCAGGACCAGGAGGCTGCAGAGTTGCTCAGGCCTGCTGGGGGCTTCGAGGGGAAGTGGCAGTGTGCCCATCGGGCCACTTGGTGGCATGGAGCAGTGCCAAGAAGGCCTCCTTGTGGGCAGGGGTGAGCACAAGACTTCTGTGGGGCCCTGCAGGGGGCCACCTCTCCGTGACCGTGCATTGGTCTCACTCTCGGGCCATGGGCAGGAACATTGCGTGGGTGTGTGGCGTGCTGTCTTGGCCATGTCACCCTGTGTGTCATAAGTTTCCCAGTACAGGAGGTCTCAATGGGTCATGGCACCTGTCGGCTTCCTGCCTGGAATGGGCTATACCTGAAGTGTCAGTGTGGAGGCTGTGAGTGTGAAGATGCCTGCCCTGCTTTATTCTCCAGGAGGACGCTGAGCAACTGTACACAAAGTGCAAGCGCTATGACCTTCTGAACAAGTTCTACCAGGCCTCAGGCCAGTGGCAGAAAGCCCTGGAGGCGGCCGAGTTCCATGACCGTGTGCACCTGCGCACCACCTACCACAGCTATGCCAGGCACCTGGAGGCTAACGCTGACTGCAACCTGGCCCTCAATTAGTGAGTGAAGGGCCTGGATGGGGGCCATGGGACACGAGGCCTCTTCCTGACTCTCCAGGACGGGCCACGCGGCCTCGGGCCTCTCTGTCTGTGCTATGGAGAGGTTCTCAGAGGAAGAGTCTGAGTCAGGGTGGGCGGGGTGGGAAGCTTCCTGGGGCCTCGGGCGCCCCCTTTACAGGCTGGCCTGCTTTGGCTTTTGAGGCAAGTTAAAGAGAGATGTCTGTGGCGTCTTCCTTGCTAGTTACTGTAGCATAAGTTGGGCTTGGTGCCTCCTTGAGGACAAACAACCACAGTGTCACCTTTTCCAGAGGAGGAGTGGCTCTCAGATCTATCCCATGGTCTGGATATCCAACCTGCCTCCTGGGACCCCACAGTGCAGAATGCTCCTGCGGCCCCCACCGGGGCAAGCATGGGCCCCACAGAGCTGCAGACTGGGAGCCTACCCCAGGCAGGCCGCCATTCTGGCTTGTCCCTGCGACACTGCCTGTTGGCCTGTTGGGTTATCATGAGGCTGAGATGGGAGGGAGTGAGGCCCTCTTGTCTCCTCCACAGCTACGAGAAGTCAGACACCCACCGCTTCGAGGTGCCCAGGATGCTCTCCGAGGACCTGCAGTCCCTGGAGTGCTACATCACTAACATGAAGGACAGGCAAGTGTCCTGGCTGGGGCAGGTTGGGGTGGCACTCTCATCGTGGAGGTTGCCTGGGCAGCCCTTGCTTCTGGAGCCTCAGTGTAAGCGTGAGCAGCATCCTTAGCGCTGGTGCCCGCGTACTGAGTGGGGCTTGCTCTTTAGATAAGATCCCTTCAGACCCCAGGGACCTCACTCTTGGCCCTGTCCATTTGCAGGTCACGTGACATGCTCGTGCTCTGGGGGTGGTGTGGGAGGCAAGGAGTGGGGGTTATTCCGGGCGGAAGGGCCCAGATGGGGAACCCATGGCTCCCGGGACTGCCCCATAGGACCCTGTGGCGATGGTGGGCCCAGTACCTAGAGAGTCAGAGCAAGATGGATGCCGCGCTGAGCTACTATGAGCTGGCCCAGGACCACTTCTCCTTGGTTCGCATTTACTGCTTCCAGGGCAACATTCAAAAGGTACGAGCCTCCTGGTGGGAGTCAGCAGGCAGGTGGGCGCTAGGTAACTCGGTTGCTCTGGCTGTTTTTCTAGGCTGCTGAAATAGCCAACGAGACCGGGAACTTGGCGGCATCATACCACCTCGCCCGCCAGTACGAGAGCCAGGAGGAGGTGAGGCAGGCAGTACACTTCTACACGCGGGCACAGGCCTTCAAGAATGCCATCCGCCTGTGCAAGGTAATCCGGGCATGAGTAACCCAGCACTGCCACTCGCTAGCTGAAGTGGGGCTTTGCAAGAATCTGTTAAGGGAGTTTCAGACAGAAAAATGGGGAGAATCGTGTCAGAATTATGTTAGAGAATCATGACACTCACTCTGCCTGGCCGCCTGGCTCTGCCCCTCCGCCCATCCCTCGCTTCTTCTGTCTGATGCTGGTAGAGTACTGACTTGTTGCTGTGTGTTTCCCAGCACCTGGGCCTCCTGAGCAGGTGGCGGCTGCCTCAGGCCTGCATCCTTGCACATTGGCAGACCCTGCACAGAATGCCGATGGCCATTCTGCTCCACTGAAATGTCCGGGCTCAGGGGCTCACTCCTGTAAACATTCCCTAGGTCAGGTGTTCCTCATAGTGCTCTGTAAAATGGCACAGAAGGCATCTGATGATCCTGGGACACACACAGACCCAGGAAGACATCAGCACCTTAAAAACCATAACCACAGCCGGGCTCGGTGGCTCAGCCTGTAATCCCGCGCTTTGGGAGGCTGAGGTGAGTGGGTTGCCTGAGCCCGCGGGTTTAAGACCCGCCTGGGCAACTTGGCGAGACCTCATCTCTACAATAAGTCAAAAAATCAGCTGGGTGTGGTAGCATGCGCCTGTATTTCCGGCTACTCAGAAGGCTGAGGCGGAAGGATCGCTGGAGCCCAGCAGGTCGAGGCTGCAGTGGCTGAGAGCTGCCACTGCACTCCAGTCTGGGTGACAGAGTGAGACTCCAACTCAAAAAAAAAAACCACAACCACAAAGATCACCAAGTAACATATTGCATGAAGGGAGGTGGGGTCACACTCGGCGAGTATGGCTGAGCTAGGCGGGAACTGCCCACCTCCCTCCCTCCCTCCCTGCAGGAGAACGGCCTGGATGATCAACTCATGAACTTGGCCCTGCTGAGCTCCCCAGAGGACATGATCGAGGCAGCCCGATACTATGAGGAGAAGGGTGAACAGATGGACAGGGCAGTCATGCTGTACCACAAGGTAAGGGGCGACCCCCACAGGAGACCTCTGGAGGGTACAGGCACAAGGCTCCTGTGGAGACCCGGGACACTTGCCCATGCCAGGCCCCTGTTCTCAGGACCCTGGGGCTTGGCTGCTGTTTAGAGCCCACTGCATCCACAGGCCGGCCACTTCTCCAAGGCCCTGGAGCTGGCTTTTACCACCCAGCAGTTTGTGGCCCTACAACTCATAGCAGAGGACCTGGATGAGAAGTCGGACCCTGCCCTCCTGGCCCGCTGCTCTGATTTCTTCATCGAGCACAGTCAGTACGAAAAGGCAGTAGAGCTGTTGCTGGTCGCCAAGAAGGTATAGGGTCCGTGGGCCAGGGTCAGTGGGTTTGCTCTGTGAAGGTGCCGCTGGTCACCTTGAAGGCACAGGGTCGGTGGGTAGGCTCGGTGGAGTTGCTGCTAGCCGCCAAGAAGGCACAGGGTCAGTGGGCCAGGCTCGCTCAGGTACTATGACTCAGGCCACCTTTCCACAGGGGTCACAGGAGTGGCTTCACAGCTCTCTCTCTTATGATTTCTCAAGAAAGGCCATGGCTGTATCCTGCTCTGGAGGCGAGGGGCCCTGAAGGCAAGCTCCCCGTGCTCAGCACACTGAGATCTCTACTGCAAGCATAGCCTTGCCGCTCACTTTGTGGGTGTCACCAAGTTATAAGCAGAGAGTTGCGCCCACCTTCTTGTGTGTGTGTGAACACAGAACATAAAATGGACCGTCTCAGCCATTTTTTAAGTTCAGTAGTGTTAAGTATTTTCACATTATTATTCAACAAATCTCCAGAACTTTTTCCTCTTCCCTAATTGAAGCTCGGTGCCCATGAAGCACAAGCTGCCCGCCCCTCCTTTCCAGCCCGGCCCCCATCGTTCCACTTCCTGTCTCTCTAAATTTGACTTTTGCTGGTGCTTCACGTAAGTGGGATCAGACAGCTTGTGTGTGGTTGCCTGACTTATTAGCACTGTGTTCTCAGGGTTCATCCATGGTGCGGCAGGTGTCTGCGCCTGGTCCTTTTGAGACTGAGTAGTATTTCATTGTGTACATAGCTCATGTTCTATCTGTTCGTCATGGATGGACATTCGGTTGTTTCCTTTTGGCTATTGGGGTGAATGATGCTGCTGTGAATGGTACCCAGGTGCCTCTTCAAGTTGTTGCCTTCGGTTCATCTGGGTGTCCACCCAGAGGTAGAATTCTTGGGTCACGTGGAAATGCTACATCTCGTCTTTTGGGGAATTGCCAGACTGTTTTCCACAGTGGCTGTGTCATTTCACATTCCCACGAGCAGTGGGTGAGGGTTCCAACCTCCACATCCTCACCAACACTCACTGTTTTCTGGTTTTTTGCTCATAGTCAGTCTGATGGGTGTGTACACGCATCTTCTATTTTTCATCTTCAGTTGTCCTCTCGTGCCTCTAAAGCCAGCCCTGTTTGTAGGACGCCCTCCCCTAAACCGAGAAGGCAGTTTCCGTGTGCTCTGCCAGACTATGCAGTCGGAGCGGAGCTGGGTCTTCTAAGTAGAAAACTTGTCCTTGATAGAGGAGCCTAATGAAGGAGTAGAAAATTGTTGACCAAGCAAAATGAGTCTGTCCACATTGAAACATCTTTCTTCCTATAGCCAGAATTATGTATACAGTTTCTTTTTTTTTTTTTTTTTGAGTTGGACTCTCACTCTGTCGCCCAGACTGGAGTGCAGTGGCCGCTCCCGGCCACCGCAGCCTCAACCTTTTGGGCTCCGGCGATCCTTCCACCTCAGCCTTCTGAGTAGCCGGAATTACAGGCATGCGCTACCACACCCGGCTGATTTTTTTTGTTTTATTTATTGTAGAGATGAGGTCTCGCCAAGTTGCCCAGGCGGGTCTCGAACCCGCGGGCTCAGGCAATCCACTCACCTCAGCCTCCCAAGGTGCGGGATTACAGGCTGAGCCACCGAGCCCGGCTTATATGCAGTTTCATTTCTTGCTTCTGAGCAATGAGAGAATTCTGGAACACTGCATTCTTGCTTGGCAAGAACTGACAGGTGCACACAAAGATCCACCCCAAGGTTGTCTACAGACATAACCAGACCTCAGGAGAGTTCCAGGTTTTCTCTGGATACCTTGATTCTAGTTTCACAGTAGAAACCAGATAAGCCAGGAGAAATCAGGAAAAGCAGGCTAATAAGGGTGACAGATCATCCCAGAGAATACAGGATACTACATAAAATCTGGCCCATAGATTGGGGGATATTGGGGGTCCAGAAGCAGAGTCACGCACGTTTAGTGTGTGATAAAGGGGTGCTGTGCGGCCTTTGGGGACATGGGCCGCTTTGCAGAGGGGCTGGAGCAGCCAGTAGCCATTTGGGAAAAATGGAATGAAATCCCTCTTTACCCTACATCAGATAAAATTCCAGATAGGCCAAGATTTCAGCATAACAGCAAAACAGCAGCAGCTGCCCTGTGTGATGTCCTGTTATACAATCTTGAGGAGGAAAGACTTTTGCTAGGTATGATTTAATACCCAGAAGCCATAATGGAGAAGACAGATTGATCCAGACAATACACATTTGAAAATACCTCATGGACTGGGTGCAGGGGCTCATGCCTGAAATCCCAGCACTTTGCAGGGCCGAGGTGACAGGATTGCCTGGGCCCAGGAGTTCAAGACCAGCCTGGGCAACATAGTAAGACACCACCTCTCAAAAGAAAAGAAAAAATTAGCCAGGTATGGTGGCAGCTACTCATGAGGCTGAGGTGGAAGGATTGCTAGAACCCAGCAGGTAGAGGCTGCAGTAGCCATGATCATGCCACTGCACTTCACAGTCTGGTTGACAAAGTAAGACTCTGACTCAAAAAAAAAACCAAAAAAAAAAAAATCATGAAAAAAATACCATAAACAAAGCAAAGTAAAATGGGAAAAAAAAATTTTTTTAACCTATATCCCCAAAGGCTAATTTTCTTAAAATGTATCAAATTCCTATAAACCACTTTTTTTTTCATCTAAAAAGCCAGCCCTGTTCTTAGGACGCCCTCCCTCAACCAGCAATTCAAAGGAAAGGGAAAAGAATAAATTTATTAAAAAGGAAATACAGATGGTTCCTGAATATAAACTGCTTAGCCTTATTCGTAATAGAAATACAAATCAAAACTCATAGAGATGCTGTTTTTTACTGGCCTAGCAAAGGTGAAAAGGCAAGAAAACCATCTCCATTGTCATGGGAAGCAGATACACTCAGGCACTGTGGGCAGGAGCACAGCAGGCTGCACTATCACAGTGTACTTATCACTGGTCCCAGCAGTGCCTTTTCCGAGGAGTTCATCCTAACCACACATGTGAGTGACATGTGCATGGGGTGAGCAGCGGGCTCTGGAAGAGCCAGGACAGCAGCCCTTGTGTTCGTGGGCAGAAGGGGTTGAATCATCAGGGGCTCCTCAGCATGGTGGAATGCTGTGTGGCAGTCAAAAAGCACGCACACACAGATGGGCTGACCTCCAAGACACAATTCTCTTTTTCCTATTCTTAAGTGAAGAATATATTTTTCTTAAAATTTTAAGAAAGTTAAACAACTTATAACGAATTCCAGAAGGAAATTAATTCCCGATTTTTTTCTCCCACAACACAATATTCTGAGCTCTGCGTTCCCTTTGTTACATTCTGGAATGTTAATAGCATGAGAGAAAGTAACGTGAATGAGTCTTGTGCTGTAGGTTGGTGGGTGTGGAACGTCCTCCCCTGCACGTCCACCTCAGCCAGAGACCATGCCGAGCCATGGGGCGTGCTTTCCTCTGAAGGGGTGGCAGACGCGAGGGACACACTTTGGCCCTCGCCCTCTCAGCAGCCCCTTCTTGGTTTCCATGGCAACTTTGCAGTATCACGGAGCCCTGCAGCTGTGCCTGGAACAGAATATGACCATCACCGAGGAGATGGCCGAGAAGATGACTGTGCCCAAGGACTGCAAGGACCTATCTGAGGAGTCCCGGCGGGAGCTGTTAGAGCAGATCGCAAACTGCTGCATGCGCCAGGGCAGCTACCACCTCGCAACAAAGAAGTACACGCAGGCCGGGAACAAGGTGAAGGTGAGCATGGTTGTTGCTCTCGCTGCCGCCCAGCTGCGGCATTCCAGTCACTTAGGTGGTGTGCCTCCTGCACATTTTTGCATTTACCCCTGTGCTTTGCTGCAGCACGGGGCAAGCTTCTCCAACCAGGAGGAGCCAGCAGACGAGACCTCTCTCTTCCCCAGAAACCCTGAGCCTGCTTCTCCTCTGGTCCCTTGCGGAGGCTGGCCCCGCTCACCTGAGCCCTGGCTCTCTCTCTGCCTAGGCCATGAGGGCACTGCTTAAGTCCGGAGACACGGAGAAAATCGTGTTCTTCGCGGGCGTCTCCAGGCAGAAGGAAATCTACATCATGGCTGCCAACTACTTGCAGTCCCTGGACTGGCGGAAGGAGCCGGAAGTCATGAAGAACATCATCAGCTTTTACACCAAAGGGCGGGCCCTGGACCTCCTGGCTGGCTTCTATGATGCTTGTGCCCAGGTACAGATCCTCTTTGGCATTCTCAGGGGACTGAGGGAGGAGCGGGGAGCCACTGGGTCTTGATGGGTCTCATCTGTGCAGGTGGAGATTGATGAATACCAGAACTATGACAAAGCCCATGGGGCACTGACTGAGGCTTACAAGTGCCTGTCCAAGGCCAAGGCCAAGAGTCCCTTGGACCAGGAGACCAAGCTGGCACAGCTGCAGAGCAAGATGACGCTGGTGAAGAGGTTCATTCAGGCCCGCAGGTGTGTCCCCCTCAGGGGACAGTGGGGACAGGGAGATGCAGACACAAGGGCAACACAGGCAGGCCGGCCTGCAGACCCTCCCCTTGGCCCGCGGGAGGCTCCCCGGCTCCTCTGAGCCCCTTCGTTGGGAGAATGGAGGCTGGCCAGAGGAGACCCAGCTGAGCTTTCATCTCTGAGGACATTTTTAAGGGGTTTCCTGGGCAACTAGATGGGGCTTGAGGGGCATCATCGCTTAAAACACCTCCGAGCTCCTCTTAGGGAATTCCCTCAGAACCTGGGCACAATCTTGGGAGACTGTTCCGGAGACACCCAGAGACACCCAGAGAGAAACCTGGTTGGGGAGGAGAGAGAGGCAGATTTGGGGCAGGAGATCGTGTAACTGAGGGGGCCTTGGACCTGATTAGGGCGCCCTGGGGGCCTGCCGTGGGGTGGGGCTGTGGGAACCAGCAGGCTTGCCCCTCTCCACAGGCCAACTGCCAATGAGGCCTGGGCAGCACATTTTCTCAATTTTTAGGAGAGGCCAAGGATCTACATTTTTTGTGATACTTCCCAGGTTTTATCTGTTGGCAGATCTAATTCAGCTTTTCAGAGCGCGGCTGTGTGGGTCGACACATGAGAGCAGACATCTGTGGTTCAGCTTCTGCCTCAGCTATCAAAAGTGTTCTTATCTGGGGGATGTTTTTCAAAAGAAGAGTTCCAAAGCTACTCTGAACAGTGTTGTACCAATTGGGGCTCCGTGGAAGGGCTTTATCCACTAGGACGTGTGGATTCTGGAATGTCTGCATCTGGGAGACATGCTGAACCTGGGCTGTGGGGCAGGAGTGAAGAAGGGCAGCAGGTGGGGGTCAGCGATAGGGCAAGGCCTGTGGACGGAGGGGACAGGACTGTGAGGGCGGGCAGACAGCTCTCTGGGCCAGGAGGCAGAGGGTGGGCCAGGAGGCAGAGGGTGGGCCAGGAGGCAGAGGGTGGGCCAGACACCTGCCTCAAGTGCTCAAGTTGGTGCTTGGCTGGGTGGGCCCTGGTGCCTCCGTGTGTGGGGGCCTGAGACCTGTGGCTCTAGTCACCCGCCCTGGGCCAAGTCTCAGCTCTGCAGGTTCCCGGGCAGGCTTGCCCCCCTGGTCTTACCCCCCGTCACAGTCACACATGCTGTACCACGGATCCCTGCACCCGGTCACATGTGCAGCCTCTGCTCAGGCCGAGCCCTCTGCTTGGAAGGATCTCGAGTACCCTGGGCAAGGGGCGGCATGCCCCTTTCCATCCCACCCCATGCGCAGGCCCTGTGTCCCCTCTGAGTCCTACTTAGCCTAGAGGTTTCTATCCCCCTCCAGACTGTTCCCTGAAGTAGAAACTAGGGGTTAGCAATCTTTGAGCTTGTTGTCCAAAGGACCCAGCTTTTATCTGTTGGCAGATATAATTCAAGTGATCAATAAGAGTTTGCTAAATGAATTAATTTATGAACAAATTAAGGAACTAATGGATTAATTCACGGGGATTAACTTCACCAAAAATATCCTCCCATCGTTCCCAGAGCTCCTCCTGTAGGACAAGGGTTTGACCTCTGACCCTTGTGTTCAGGGGCTGGGGGCTCAGGCCTCATCTTTGCTCTCAGCAGAATATACAAGGAGGACCCCAAGGAGTCCATCAAGCAGTGTGAGCTGCTCCTGGAGGAGCCAGACCTAGACAGCACTGTCCGTGTTGGGGACGTCTACGGCTTCCTGGTAGAGCATTGCCTACAGATGGAGGACTTCCAGACGGTGAGGCCTAGGCACTGCCCACTGGGCGTGTCCATCACTGAGGCTTCTGAAACTCAAATGTTTGGGAGTTCAGATTTTGTCAGTAGTAGACTTTTTGAAGTGACAGGCATATACTGCTTATTTTTGAGAAACTGTCATTGCCAGTGGTCTTTCCTTGGTTTAATTTTTTTGTCGAGATAAGGTCTTACAGTGTTGCCCAAGATGGTCTTGAACTCCTGGGCTTAAGCAGACCGCCCACCTTGGCCTCCCAAAGTATGGGGATTACAGGTGTGAGCCACCATGCCCAGCCCTGTTCATTATTTTATATCTTTCTTTCCTCTCTATCCTTTGGATTAGATAATTTATATTGATCTATCTTCAAATTCTACTTTCTTTAGCTACCTTCAATCTACTGTTATCCTCTCTAGCACATTTTTCATTTTAGATTTTCTATTTTTCAGCTCTAGAATTTACATAGTTCTTCTTTGCTAAAATTCCCTATTGGTTGAGAACACATTTTTGTTTATCTCCTTGAGCGTCATGGTGATCCTGGCTCTTACATCTCTGCTGCTAATCCTGTGTCTTGGTCATGCAGGTCCGAGCTCCATTATTTGCCTTTTCTCTTGAATTTTTGTTTCTTCTTATGTAGTCATTTTTTAATATCATAGACTTTGTGGATAATATATTGTAGAGACTGGATTCTGTTATGCTCCTTCAAAGAGTATTAGTTTTTTGTTTGTTTTATTAGGGTGTCACCTTTGTTCAACTCAAAGTCTCAACCCCTTCAGCCATGGAGGATAGCAGTTGAGATCTCTGTTCAGCACTTTTAGCTTTAGTTGGACATCTTGACATCTGCCCCTCACCCCACCACATGCCTGGTGCAGAATCAACTAGCAATTAGGGCAGAGTGACATTCGGAATTTGGGCACCCCTCTATTCCAGCTGCAATGGTCAACAAAAATTTTGATTCTGGTTATTTAAGTCAATCAGAGTGCAGGCTTCTGTGTGCCTTTTCAATGTCCACATTGGCCCTGACCAGTGCCTGCCCTGAGCAAAAAGTTCTGCCCAGCAGGGGACTGGCCCCAACCACCCTCTTCCAGCTTCTGCCTGCGCGCAGCCGTCCTCCCGTGCCCAGTGTTGCTGTGGGGGAAGGGCTGCTCTAATGCGGGTCACGCTGCCATTGCCAGAGGCTGCGCTCCTCATTCGTGTTCAGCCGTAATTCTGCTGTAGTCAAAGAATTCCTCCTGCCTGCACTCTTCTTTGTGTCCCCAAGGACGCTTACAGACCTTGCTACAACCTGACACTGCCTGCAGTGCCTCCTCCAGTCACCAGCTGTGCTCCCTGCAGGTAGTTCTGGTGGAATACAGTACCCCAGGGTCTCTGCTCACAAACGGGACAGCGACAAATCAGTTGTTGAGACATGCTGGTGAACAGCGTCAGCCTCACAGGGCTGCAGCCTCCCGATTTCACAGGAAGGCTGTTGTCAGCGACTTCTCCAGAGGCTGAAAGGTCACGCCGTGAGACTGACTTCCTGATCCGGTTGACCATCCCCTTTTGCCCCCTACCATTTCCAATCACTGACCCTTTATGTGGTTTGGGGAAAAACAACTCAGTCTGATCCCAACAAGATTTCCTTTTTTTGGTTTTTAAGACAGTCTTGGTATGTTGTCCAGGCTGGAGTGCAGTGTCTGTTCACAGGTGCAATCACAGGTCACTGCAACCTTGAATTCCTGGGCTCTAGTAATCCTTCCACCTCAGCCTCCCCAGTAGTTGGGACTACAGGCATGCACCACCACACCCAGCTAATTTTTAAATTTCTTTGTGAGATGGAGCATCACTCGGTTGCCCAGGCTGGAGCGCAGTGCCACGATCATGGCTCACTGCAGCCTCCAATTCCTGGGCTCAAGTATGTCCCGCCTCAGCCTCCCGAGCAGCTGGAATGACAAGTGTGTGACACTGTGCCTGGTCCCAACAAGGTTTCATTTTTTTTGGAGAACTACAATAATATGCATAAAGGCAAACTTGAACCCCAGAGCTGCTCACTGCAGTGTCCTCAAGATGGACATTTTAAACACTTCATCACCTTCTTCATCTCTATGCTTGCTTTAAGCCAATGGGATTAACTCTAAATACAAAAAAAAAAAAGAAAGAAAGAAAATCCCAAGTTACAAGTAGCAAAGGCTTGGGTCCACATACACCTCCTCCCAGTGGGGAGAGCCCCCTCATTGCTCCTTTCCCACTCAAACTCCTTGTCCTGGCCTCTGCCTCCTCCTGTCCACTGTGTTCCTGCCACCCTGTCATCAGAACCAAATCATCTGACAGACTCCTGATCCTGGATGCCAAGTTTTCTCCACAGTCAAGCTGGCCAGTGGCGTTTGTCTTGGTTGTGTACCACTGTCCCTCGCTGGCTTTTGGTGACTGCGCTTTCCTTCTGGAAACCATTCCCTCTTTATAAAGCCAGCTCTGTTCACAAGGCAGTCACATGTGCTGGGCCCAGTGTTCAGGTGGGCACGACTCTTTCTGACCACAGGGTCCTTTTCTGTATGTGATCAGCCCCTCGCTCCCCCACTCTCCCCATGTTGATCCTCCCCTGAATTCTGCCGCTGCAGAACCCTCAGCCTGGCTCACCACAGCTCTCACTGTCCTGAGCCTGCTCCTTGATCCTCATGTTCTGTGGGCCCAGCACAGCGGCTGGTGCGTGGCAGCCAGTCTGTAAATGCCTGAGGAAGCATCTCTGACCTGTAGATGACGGCTCTCGCCCCTGCTGGAGAGGGCATAGAGACTTGCACTCCCCCGCCCGCCACCCAGCAGAAGCCTTCTGTAAATGTGGGCTGGTTGCTGGATGACACCATTAAGCCATCCAGAGAGCATTATTTTATATCTTTTATGATCTTTGTAGACACATTTATATCTATTTTATTTTCATATCCCAGTTAGACTGTCCAAAGTAAAATTGCTCTAAGATTTTTATTATCTCTAAGAAATACTAAGATCACTTGGAAGGCTGAGGCAGAAGGATCACCGGAGCCCAGCAGGTCGAGGCTGTGGTGGCCGGGAGCGGCCACTGCACTCCAGTCTGGGCGACAGAGTGAGACTCCAACTCAAAAAAAAAAAAAAAAAAAAAAATACTAAGATCTTATCATTATTACTGATTCAAAATATTTTAACTGCTAGAAATTTTGGTCACATTCTGAATAGATGTGTGTACCTTGGTGAGGCCTGGGGGCCACATAAAGCCCCATTCCTCTCCCTGTGCCTGTGTTGGCCTCCTCAAGGATAAGCAGGTATAGACATGTTCAAGCAGGTGTGAGCAGGTATAGACAGGGGTAGACATGTGAATAGATATAGACACGTGTAAGCAGGTGTGAGCAGGTATAGAGTGAACAGGTGTAGACATGTGTAAGCAGGTATAGATGAGACATGTGTAAGCAGATAGACAGGTAGACACGTGAACAGGTGTAGACATGTAAGCAGGTGTGAGCAGGTATAGATGGGGTAGACACATGTGAGCAGGTTTAGACAGGGTAGATGTGTGAGCTGGCTCCTGCACTGGGCATTCAGCTGCAGCACTGACTGTAGCTTCGTGTCCACACCCAGACTCTGAAGCGTGTGCTGTCCTTGGACACCGTGTCCCCTTGTTGCACTGGGAAGTCCCTCTGCCCACTTGCCTCCAGAAGCAGGGGTGTGCGCGGAGTCGGGCCCTGTGGGTTTCAGGGACCTCCCCATGAGCTGGGATGGCTGCAGGGCTCCTAAGGACATTTCTCCTCCTGACGGCTGCTGTTCTGCTGTAGGCCTACAGGCACCTGGAGGAGATGCGCCGGCGGCTTCCCTCCGTCAACCTGTCCTACTACGTGAGCCAGCAGGCTGTGGAGGCCGTGCACCAGGGCCTAGGCCTCCCCCTGATGCGTGCCACACCTGAGCGGCTCCGCCACAACAGCTTGGAGGACCACAAGGAGGTGGATGAGGAGGTGGTGGAAGAGGTGGACAAGGATCCATGATGGGTGCAGCCCGGGCTGACTGGGTGGCACACTGCTGCTGGGAAGTGTCTTCTGGAGGTTTCTAGTCATCGGTGGCAGCAAAGGCAGCTTTTTTGTTTATGTCAGAATCCGTAAGCAGAGCTGTGCTGGGTCTGGTGAGTAGCTGCCTGCACTGCCGCCTCCCGCCGGAGAAGAGAACAGAACAGTGTGCTCGGCAGCTCCCTGTGAGCTTCTGGATGGGTGCCCTTAAAGGGACTTGATCCATCTTTCCCATGAATTCCTCCCAGCTGCACACCGTGAAGCCTCACGAGCCGAGGCTGTATCTGGAGGGCTGGTGATCCCTGTTCCTTGGTTCACCACATATCCCACGGTTACCTGGCAGTTCCCAGCAGGGCCCGGTGCTCCCAAGCAACAGGCGCTCCCAAGCAACAGGCGTCGCCTTGGCCAGTTATCCAGGGCCCTGAGCCCTGAGGGCTCTGCCCTCTCACCAGAGTGGGGAGGGGGACTTTAGACTCTGCTCACCAGCCATTCCTGTGACTTCAATAAAATTTATTTTCTTAGGCCTGGGCCCCTCGCCCTGCTCGAGCCCACCCAGAAGCTGTAGGCCCTGCCCAAGCCAAAATCACAGAGAGTGTCCGCTCAGCACCGCGGCTCCTTTTATTCTTCTGGGGACACGGTGCTGTCCTCTTGGTGTCCTCTCACAGGAGCACGTTGGGGACTGTGAGTGGCAGTGCCCTTTCTCCCCTCCCTGTAGGAATCAACCCCTGCTGCTGCACCCTGGCTCCAGCCCTGCACTCAGGCTGCTCTATCCTGCAGAGGCGGCGCCCAGGCCCTTGGATATTTTTAGCTGGACACTCAGACTTGCCAGCTATTAATAGCAGCAAGGGCGGGGTGGGCTTTCCTCCGTCTGCACACTCTGTGCCAGATGTCTCTGCAGACCTGGCTGTGCCATAAAGCCCAGATGTTGCCGGCGCCGCTCCTGGGGCCTTCTGCAAGGCCCTTGGCCTTCCTTGCTTCCCGTGGGGGGTGGCCCTGGATGGGCTGTGATGGGCACGTCCCCAGGTGCCTACGGAGAGGAACGTGGGAGAAGCCTGTCCCTGAGCCTCTCCAGCAGCAGCAGAGCCTTCAACGCCAGTGTCCTGCAGTCCTCGTCTGGGTCCTTCTCGGCCACATCTGCAACAGGCACGAATGGAAACAAACACGGGGCAGTCCTGAAGCGCCAGCCATCTTCTTTCTCTCACTTCAAGTCTTCCTAAACGAGCGACTTGGGCACTGGCACTGGAACCCTCACTGAGGCCTCACCATGGGCGGCTGGCACAGGCCAGCCCCAGATGGTGGCCAGTGGCACGGCCTATCCAGCCCCCAGCACCAACTTAGGATAAAGCCAGATCCAGGAGACAGACAAGCCCCTCCTCAGCCCTCAAAACTGCCAGACACACACAGGTGAGCAGATGAGGAGGCAAGGTGGTATGGCCTGCACCCAGAGCCAGAATCTCCCAAAGACCTGCCCTCCCCTGTGCACCGTAGGCTCCAAATAGGCTGCACTGAACACAGGACTGTCCTGCTGGTGGTGGGTGGGTGGCCACCAGGTGTGAGTTAGGGGCTATCCAGCCTGGGCATACAGGCGAGGCCTGCTCTGTGCCATAGCTGTGCCTGGCCCACACGGTCGAGCTGCGCCAGTTTGGAGATGTTGAGCAGAGAAATACAGGCCTCAGCCACAGAAGACCCTAGCAATTCACAAGGGGCCGCCTACTGCCTGGTGGGGTCAGAGTTGCCACCCATCCACGGGAGGCTGGGCGAATGGGCCCCAGCGGTCTGGAGTCACATACTACCCCCTGGGATGAGCTGAATCTCGTGGCTGCCCCCAGTGCGCCAGGGCCCTCACCAAGGCCTCAAGCCTATGACGCTGATAAGCCTTGGGGCTCTGACAACAGCAGTCACTCCACAGGGCGGGCTGAAGCCTCACTGTGAACCCCACTGGTCAGGGCTGGGCTGTGGGAGCTGTGCCACGGCCTGGATGGTGTCCTGCCCGCCCCACACTCACCTGCCAGCCAGGACCCAGCTTCCAGCAGCTCGTCCGGCAGGTCCTCCAGCAGCCGCTGGGCAGGCACGCTAAGCAGAACAGAGGAGATGGCAGACAGCAGGCCCTGGCGCACGTAGCTGCCGAGCAAGGAGGTGAGGGGGTTGAGCCCCATGGTGCCAGGGGGCACTGCCGGCACAGCAGGAACGACACCCCAGGTCAGGGACCCCCTGCTTCTCCAGCGTAGGAACTGCTGCAGGCTCCGGCCCTACCCAGCCCCCACCCAAGGCAGCACGTTTCCTGCTCGGATGGAAAGTGTCGGGCCAAGCTGCCTCCCACCTCCTGGGGCTCTGTGGTCTCCACTGTCAGACCAAGGAACCCACTGTGACGCCCGCCTCACCCTGCAGGCCACTCACGCATCAACGTGGAAGCGCAGGCCCCACACAAACTCCAGCAGGGCCTTCCCCATGGGCGCAGCCACCTGGAGACCAGCAGAGGGACGGTGGGCAGGGTCTTCCACGCCTGTGCCCACGTCCAGCACCCGCAGGTGGGCCTGACGGCCGAGGGAACATTTCACACAGGCAGCCCCTCCCTTGGACTTTGTCCCTGGGACTAGGGAGGCTGAGGAATGTGCTCCAGGCATGTAGTGCTTCGCACCCAGTACCGCAGCCACCCCTGCCCATGGGCAGGGCAGCCCACCCAGCACTCGGGCACCTTCAGCCCCCGTCTCTCAACTCACTGTGGTATTCACAGCCAGGTACATCAGGGCCCCTAGGGTGTGGGTCAATCTTCCGAGAACCAGATGGTCCTCTCCCAAGAGGTCAAAGGTCACCAGAGGTCTACAGCAGAGTCAAGAAAATGCTGCTGCCCAGACACCTCAGGCCGGGTCTGCAACCTTCCGGCCACCAAGGGAGACTACGGGCTCTGGGACGCTTCAGAGCCTCTCTCCGTTTCACTGCCCGACCCCACATGGCACCAGGAAAGTCCCAAGAGAAGGTGTTTCTGGACGCCCTGGGGACTCTGCAGGGCTGCCTGGCACCAGCCTAGCCTGGGGTCGGGAGCTCATGAGGCCAAGGCCCCTGCCCCTGCTGCGCTGTGAGCTGGGCTGGGGCAGGACGAGGGGAAGGAGGGCGGCAGAGCAGGTGGCATCTGCAGGCACAAGAGCACCGCCAGCCCTGCCTGCCCCAGGTGGGAGCAGAGACAGCAGAGAGCCCAACACCCTCCCCACAGAGCCCAACGGCAGAGGAGCCTGGTGGAAAACACCATGTCATTTAACATCAGCCACAAAAAGCCCTTGGCAGAGGTCACAAGCCTGCTCATGCCAAAGCCCCACAAGGGCCCCACCTGGGGAAGCTTTCATCACAGGGTGTCCTGGACTTCTGCTCCCCACATACCTGTCAAAGCGCTGAATGAGGGGGAAGAAGAAGTAGCCAGCCACAGAGTTGAACTCGTTGGGGTCGCCTGCTGCTCCCTGCCGGGGAGGGCCCTGCCAGAAACACAGTGCACACGGGGGAGAAGGGGATAGGCGGCTGGACAGACAGCTTCTTTCCTTAGGCAGCCCCCAGCTGCTCCGCCTCTGCCCAGCTCCAGAGCCCATGTGGACGGTGACAGCACTCAGGCTACCACTGTGCCCAGAACCAGACCAGGATCCCAACCTCACAGGCAGGACATTGGGGCTGCAAGAGTCTTGCACTGGGGGCCAACCTGGGCACTGCAGGGCGCCTCCAACCCACCCCCAGTGACAACCAAAACCGTCTCCAGACATTCCCAAATGTGCCAGGGTGGGGCAAGGCCGCTCTGCCTGGATGGCTCTGAGGACAGCATCCCCCAGATAGTCTGTTCCGACATGGCGTTCGGGACCAGCCTGACTCTGCTGTAGCATGCCATGGCCCTCCCTCCAAGGAACTTCAGCGTTCCTCCACCTCTCAGTGAGGAGAGCCTGGAGGGACCTGACTGCTCACTGCCTCCAGTCCCTGGGCCTGCCAGGACCTGACCAGGGTCCCACTGACCTTGGAGAACCGCCGGGTCTTGCTTCTGATCCTCTCCTCCACGACCAGCCGCCAGTCGGGAGCTACCGTGCTGCCAGGCCGAGAGGCAGCCTGAGCCGGCAAGCACCGGGTGCCAGGGTTGGGGGAGCCAGGCTGGGGAGCCCGCCCTGGGCGCCCAGGCCGAGACAGCTCCTGGGCAGCCAGCGTCAGGACCTAGAGGGGAGGAGCGACTCAGGACAGCTGTTGTCGCGCTGGAGAAAAACAACATTTCCCAGAAGTCAAGCTACCAAGCAAAGCCCAAGCCCAGAAGCAGGCTCAGTGGCCCTTGCAGTCTGTGGGGAAGAGGGTGTGTTCTGGGACTCGAGCAAGGCACTTCCCAGTATCTCAGAGTAACTGCGCAGCAGTGAGAGGGACAGGTGGGGAAGGGAGCTCCATCGTCCCTTGGTCAGAGCACCTGGGGCCCAGCGAGCTGCTGCTTCTGCAAGCCCACCTCATCCTGCCGTGCCCGAACCAGTTCCCTTCTCCCAGGAACTCAGCCTCCCAGTGAAACAAGTGCTGTGCTAATACGTGCTTCAGGTGATAGGTCAGACACACGACATCAGCAAAGGGAGCCAGACACACAGACTACACAGGACATGACTCCACCTCCATGAAATGCCCAGAGTAGGGAAGCAGACGGGTGGCTCCCAGAGGTAGGGGGGTCAGTGTCTGCTGATGGGGATGGGGTTTCCCTTTGGGGGATGAAAGTGTACTGGAACCAGAGGTGGAGGCTGGCCAACACCTAGTGGTCCAAGTAGCACCGAACTGCTCACTTTAAAGTTCTTTTTGGTGTTTTTTTAGACTTTCTAATTTTTTTTTTGAGTTGGAGTCTCACTCTGTCGCCCAGACTGGAGTGCAGTGGCCGCTCCCAGCCACCGTAGCCTCGACCTGCTGGGCTCCGGCGATCCTTCCGCCTCAGCCTTCCGAGTAGCCGGAATTACAGGCATGTGCTACCACACCCGGCTGATTTTTTGATTTATTGTAGAGATGAGGTCTTGCAGCCCAGGCGGGTCTCGAACCCACGGGCTCAGGAAATCCACTCACCTCAGCCTCCCAAAGGCGCGGGATTATAGGCTGAGCCACCGAGCCCAGCCAACTTTTTAATTTTATTCTGGCAAAATCTTTTATTATTTTAGCCATTTAAAGGATACGGTTCTGTGGCATTAATAAGTACACCCATGGTGGGCATCCCTCTCCAGAACTTTTCCATCTTCCCAAACTGAAATTGTCCCCACGAAACACTCTTTCCCCATGAAACACTCTCTCCCCATGCCCCGCCCCAGCCCCACAGTTCTACTGTCTCTATGAATTAGATGCCTCTGGAACCACATGATTTTCAAGCCTTTGTGGCAGGCTTGAACATGTTGTATTCAAAGTTCATCCATGATGTATACAGCGTATATCATAATTTTGTTCTTTTTTATAGCTAAATAATTCCATTATATGGAGGGCCCATGCTTTATCCTAAAATGGTGAATTTCTTTTTTTTTTTTTTTGAGTTAGAGTCTCATTCTGTCACCCAGACTGAAGCGCAGTGGCTGCTCCTGGCCACCTCAGCCTCGACCTGCTGGGCTCTGGCAATCCTTCCGCCTCAGCCTTCCAAGTAGCTGGAACTACAGTGTGCGCTACCACGCCAGGCTAGTTTTTGAATTACTGTAGAGATGAGGTCTTGCCAAGTTGCCCGAGCGGGTCTCGAACCCGCGGGCTCAGGCAATCCACTCACCTCGGCCACCCAACGCCCTGGGATTACAGGCTGAGCCACCGAGCCCGGCCTAAAATGGTGAATTTTATGGAGTGTAAATCTTGTCAGTAAAGCTGTTATTTAGAAAGAAGCAAAACTCAGCCACAAAGTCCTAACTCCCCACTGCTGAATCCTATATATCCACACCCTCCAGAAGGCAGCGACAGATGCCCGTTCTAGCCTCACACCCAGTGACAAGGAGAGTTACAGATTCCCTGCCCCCTCACACTAGAGCATCTTGGGCCTGATGACGCGGACAGAGGGGCCCTGGGCACTTACATCCAGGATGTCCATGCGCTGCCGCAGGCTATAGTTGAGGGCATAGAACTGCGAAGTCAGATACTCGGTGACCTGAGTGGGCAGGGAAGAAGCCACTGTGGGCCAGGACCCCAGAGGGCCATCCGGGCACAGCTCCCAGGTCCTGCACAGCCAGCCAGCACAGGATGGAGCCTCGAGCACCTTAACTCTGGGCACTCCCACTGCGCCTGTGCTGGCTGAGGCCACCCACGCTGGGACTCACCCGGGCTGGGTCCGTGATGGTAACAGCCACCAGGGTTCTCTGGCGTAGCCCCTCAAATCCTGCCACACACGTCCTCTCCTCCAGGTGCAGTAGCACCTTGGCTAGCTCCACGCTCACCTGTACACAGGGGTGGGGCAGGCGCTTGCAGGCTCTGACCGTCTGCCCCATGAACCTGCCCAGCCACGGCTCAGAGGGCCCATGCCACTTACCCGCTACCCACCCTGCAGAGGCATGGGGCTCAGGCCTCCCAACAGAGGCAGCAGTCCCCAAGGCACACACACAACCCAGATGTCACCGTCCATGACCAGGACATGGATGGCATGGAGAAGCTACTACCATAGGCCTCCCAGTCCAACTCCACTTGCTCACCTCCTGAGTGGCCGCCGGGCTCCTGTAGACCAGGCCCTCCAGAGCACCCAGGGCTGCTTCCCAGCGCTCTGCATCTTCAGATGTGGTCAGGGCTGCAGAGAACACAGACAGGCCTCTGTCGGCCTTGACTCCAACCCTGAGTCACCAAGAGCTGGCAGCCACAGTTGGCACCCTGGGTCGAGGGCCTCTTGACACGTCAGGTGAGGATGTCAAGGGGCTCGGGGTCACCCCTGGAGTAGACAGCTGCGAGTGAGACCTGCACACAGCCCCAGCAGGGCCCGCCTGGCACCCGCACCCACCTTCCATGCAGTCCCGGAGGTACATGGGAGCCTTGTTGCTTTTCAGCTCCCTGTCCCCCGACATGTCATGGGGGACGAACTCATCATCACTGTGGAAGGGGCAAGACAGACACACAACAGCTGTGAGAGGAAGCGCCTAGAGCTGCAGACTTGATGCCCCCTCCCCTCTTCCTGAAGATGCTGCTGGGACTCACGCCCAGGGACTTGAGTTCAGGAAAGTGCTAAGACCTGAGGCTGTGGTGGAGTTTGGGAGCTGTAGGCCCTTATTTGTAGACTACAGAGGAAAAGGGTGCCAGCAAGCGAGCCCCTGGGTCCCTGGAGTGCAAGCGGCTTGTTCCCACCCCCAGTTCCTCGAGCACCCTCCGCACTGCCTGCCCTGTGCCTCAGGGGAGGCAGTGCCTGTGCCGTGCCAGCCAGTGCCCACTGGCCACGCTCTGTAGCCCATCAGAGCCAGGAAAGCCTCCCCACCTGTCCAGCTCTGAGACAGAGTCCTCTGGCCCTGACGGGGGGACAGCACTAGCCACAGTCTCTGCAGGGGTCTCTCCAGCTGCTGGCATGAGGGACGTGCTTTTAGGAAACAGGAAGGCGCAATCATCCGGACGTGCACAAGTTGAAGAAACGCCCTGTCGCCCCCACCCATGCTGTTTTAGCTCCTGTCCAGGCACCCGCCATCTAGAACAAGGCACACACAGACCCTCACCCTGCCTCTGTGGCGCCATCACCCGCAGGCCGGGGGGTAGCCAGGGCCAGCAACTCCAGGCTCAGTTCGTCCTCTTCATACTGCAGGGGCAGGGAAGCCGGGTCAGCGACATCCAGCAGCTGCATACCCTTCCCTGAGACGGGCAGCTGGTGCCCGCCCTCCTCTCCTGCAGCTGGCCTCAAGGCCCGGACGCGCACAGTGGCCCTGTCTTGGACAGCCAGTCAACTTTTCCAAGGCAACTTTCCAAGTGTTCAACTCATGCCTAGAAAGCACTGAGCTGCTGAAGGCTAAGGGGTCCTGCCCTCCTGAAGGAGCCTGGAGCCCCTGGTGGGCCAGCATCCCCCCCAAAGCATCCCAGGGACTCAGCAAGGCAGCTGGGAGTACAGCCGCAGCTAGCGAGCCGTCCGTGCCACACAGCAGGCAGCAGAAGCCAACTTCTACCACCCAGAGTGGCCTTCCTGCCCTGCTGGGCCCCCAGGGCCAGGAGCCCTTGGCGGAAAACCCCCAAGGCAACAGCTCCCTTCACCCCAAGCCCCACTCAGATTCCTGTCTAGAGAAGGTCTTAAACATATCCAGGGCTCCGCCCTGGGAGGGAGTATGTGCTCAGGTCCTTAGCCCTAACCCTATGTGGCCCCTAAGGGCTACACCCACCACGCCTCAGCTCTCAGCGTGGTCGATACACCTGGACCCAGCCACGCAGAGGGCATGCGGAGGGACACAAAGACGATGACCCTGCTCACCTGAAATTTCAGGGCAGGCCCCTCATGGTGGATCCGGGAGCTTATGACCTCGGCCACGATCATGCCCAGGCGGCGCACAGGGGGTAGGCTGCTGTCCAGGCGGCACTTCACACCTGCCATCATGCTGGCCAGCAGTTCTGGAAGCACCAGACACACAGCCTGAGCACCTGGGGCACCCGGGTGGGGAGGCGCCGGGGTCACCCGCTCACCGTCCCGGCTGTCCTCCAGCTCTCGCTGCCCCAGGTGTGCCAGGCAGATGAGGATGGCTTTGCTGACGTAGCGCTGTTGTGGCAGGGGCGCGTGTCGCATGGCGCTGCTGCTGCCCCACGTCTCCAGCAGCTCCCTCAGCACCTGGCAGGCGGCACAGCCCAGGACCGTGCGGGCCTCAGTGCTAGGCTGTCCTCGGCCCCCGGTCCCCAGGGAGCTTCCAGTACAAGCTGAGCTGGCCCTGCCCTGCCCCTCCCACCAAAGGGAGGGCCCCACACACGCTTCTTCTGGGACCCTGCAGGCACAGGAAAGAGGGCGCTTACCTGCACGAGGAGCGGGCGCCGCTGGCTGTCCATGGCCAGGTGGCCCAGCAGGCTCTGCAGCATGGATACCTGCAACAGGAACCGGCATACTACCGACCACGCAGAGACCAGGTGCTATGCTGCAAACCCAGGACTGGGAACGGGTCTGGGCTGACACAGGAGATGGTGAAGTGGGGCTGCTCCCACCTCCTGGCCAGTGGGGACCCGCTGGGAAGCTGCAGAGTCCCAAAAACCCAAGTGCTGAGGTTTCTCAGGCCCTAGGTCTGGGCACGTCAGTGTGGGCACAAAACTTTTCTGAGGAAAGCTTCCATTTCATACACACTCTCCCACTGATGACCACAAAGTCATTCATAGCCTTTCAGGTTGGCGGGGTCCCTCTCGTGGCAGAAGCCACACTCAGCACCATGACTTGGGTCTTCTTAACCTGCTTCTGATTCTCCACACCCTAGTGTGTATTATTATTATTATTGACAGGATCTCACTGTGTTGCCCAAGCTGGTCTTGAACCCCTGGCCTCAAGTAGTCCTCCCGCCTCAGCCTCTGAGTAGCTGAGACTACTGGTGTGCCTGGACTTGTGACTGCCGCCGTCCCCGTGACCGGGAGCCAGGCTCTGGTTCTACTCAGGACTCCGTGCTCATGAGGCTTTCTTGTTGTCTTCTCTGGTTCCTTCTTCCGATGCAGCCCCTAGATCCGTCCCTGGCCTCACCACACTCTGCCTTCTTCTACTTCACGCGCTAGCGTTTTTAAGGGGAGAAGCGAGACAGCCCTCCTCCGCTCCCACGGCTTGGCTGCCTCCCACAGTCTGTGTGTGCAACTTTCACTGCGTTCCACTGCAAGTTCTCCCACTGTGATTTCCTCTCTGCTCCTTGTGTTACTTTATTTAAGAGCGTGTTGTAAAACTGTCACGTCACTCACTTGTGCTGCTGACTTCCTGCAGGTGTACGACCGCCAGGCCTCCCCCTGGCACTGGCAGGCCTTGCTCTGTGGCCTTGTCTTGTGGGCTGTTCAGTGTCCAGGGGGCTTGAAAGACTCAACTCGGCCAGGCTCAAGGACTCCAGTGCTCTACAGAACAACCTGCCGTTCTTTCCTCAGGTCCACTCCTGTGGCCAGGTGGGAGTGAGTCTATTCCCACCCTGGCCCCACACCTTCTGTCCCCTGCACAGGAGCCAGTCTGCATCTCAGGGACACAGCGGGGTCTGCTGCCTCTGCTGAAACCCTGAAGGCCCCCTCAACGCCTCGCTCTCGCCTCCTCCCTGCCCACCTGCTCATAGCAGCCACATGCCAGCCCGCCGCCAACACAGGCCGGTCAGGCAGATTGGCCCGGTGCTCAGAGGCCGCCTGCCCACCCACACCTCAGCCAGGCCCTGCCACGCCCCCTCCTTCGAGTGTCCTTGCCAACCCCCCACAGGACCCCCTCTGTCTTCTGGGCCCTGCTGGCTCCTGATGTCACACTGTGGCTTGTGTGGTGGCATCTGCCTCCCTCCCTGTAATGACACTCCATGAGGAGAGGCAGTGACTCTCCTGTCCATGGCTGGGTGTCCAGCCCCTAGAAAGAGCTTGGCTCTTACTGGGCTCCCAGCAAGCATTTGCTGAATGGAAAGACGTGTCCAGGATGCCATCAACCCTGGGTCCACCCCCGACTCCAGCTGGCCAGGATGCCCACCTCTGCTGCTCATCCTTTGCAGCCTGAGACACCAGCTATCCCTAGAGTCAGAGCCTGGCTCCCGGTCACAGGGACAGCGGCAGTCACAAGTCCAGGAGGCAAACGGCCTCTGTGTCCTGACCTGCCCCCCCCAAACTCGTGCACAGAATGGTGCCGGCGAGGGCAGCTTCTGGGGGGTGAGAGGACCAAGGGGATGAGAAGCACTCACTCATGCTGGGTCTCAGCAGGGCCCATCAATGGGCAGGGACACACCCACCGCTGTGTTGATGCCTTGATGCTGCCTGCAGGCTGCCGCCAAGTCACGGCCACGTTTCCCGCAGCAGGCTAGTGCTCTCCCTTCGTGGTTGCCGTCATCCTTCCCGTGCCCGGGGCAGCCTGCGGCCTGTAGCCCGCACCCTCACCCGGCACTCACCGGGTGTTGGTACTGTAAGAACAGAAGCTTCCGGGTCATCACAAAGTGGGCTTTCTTGTTCTTCACCACCAAGTTTCCCAACAGTCGTGACAGGACTTCGGGCCTGCGAGGCAGAGTCAGGAGGGGCCAGAGTCACAGCCCTGCCTCAGAGGTGGGGAGGCAGGGAAACAAGTGAGCTCCAGCACCACGGATCTGGGCTCCATCCTGGCCTGGTAATAGCCAGCTGGGAGCCTCTGGGTTCGTCCTTAGACAGTGAGTTGAGTCTTGATTCTCCCACTCCAGGCCTAAGCACAGAAAGCTGGCTAGAAATGAGAGGTCCAGAGAGTATGCCCCCTTTGCTGACAAGGGTGGTGCCTCACCTTGAGCAGAGTGGGAGACCTTGGTTGTGTCAGGCCTGGAAGCCGTGTTTGGGTTTCTGGGCCAAGCGATCTCCAGAGCACCACTCCACTCTGCCTTTGCAGCCAAGAGCAGCCCCGGGCAGATATGTAAATGAGTGAGCGTAGCTGTGTGACAGTTGTACTGTTTCCAGACATACATTGTGGGCCAAATTCAGCCCAAGTAATTTGCAGATCCCTGGTCTAGACTAAAACACCTGCTTCCTCCAGTAAGTGACAGGATGCTAGTCTTTAAAAAGAGGTTGATGAAGCTCTTATCCACAAGTGCGGAAAGAGATGTGGCTGGATTTCTCCCTCACTCGCCACTTACAATTTCACATAAAGACATAAAAGTTAAAAAAAAAAAAAGATTTGGGAGACCAAGGCAGAAGGATCACTTGATGCCAGGAATTCAAGACCAGTCTGGGCAACACAGCAAGACTCCCCAGCTCTACAAAAGAAAAAATTAAAAAATGGCCAGACGTGTCGGCACATGCCTTAAGTCTCAGCTACTCGGGAGGCTGAGGCAAGAGGATCACTTGAGCCCAGAAGCTCAAGTCTGCAGTGAGTTATGACCACACCACTGCACTCTAGCCTAGGCAACAGAATGAAGTCCTCTTTTAAAAAAAACTACTAAAGGACATAAAATGATTAAATAATTCACATGGGGAAAAATACAAATGCCTCAAACACACATACACCCTCACCCAGAATCAAGAATGCAAAGTCAAACATAGAGGGAATCTGGGTGGAGAGACAGGCCCATCCCCAAGTGACAGGGAGACGTCTGTTGGAAGGCATTGTTGGTAAGGCCTGTGAAGACTGAGTGGCCCAGCAACCCTGCTTCTGGGTGTGCGTCCCACAGGTTCCCCTCACAGGTACACAAAGATGTGAGCAGAGAGTTGTGGTGACAACCCCGTGTCGCAGCCGCAGACTGGGGTGCCCTGGCGAGCCAGGAGGCTGCGCAAAGAGACGGGCGGGCCCTGCGCTGCAACTGTTGGAGGCCCATGGGGCCCTCTCCACACACCCTGGCCAGTTTGAGCTTTTTACAGTGTCCATGCTACTTTCACAAGAAGAGAGCCACAGCCTTGGCACAGGGTACCCGTGTCAGCTCTGGTCAGCATGTGGTTGTGGGGGACCCGGTGGGCTAGAGCTGGTTCGGCAGATATGGCGGCTCCAGGACCAGCTGGGAGGCCCCATCAGAAATGATGCCGGCAGTCACCATACACAGCCATGAAACAGGACCTCTAGGGGGATTGGACAAGGGGGGCTGCCACTCATACCCCATGGCACTAATGCAGGGCCGTGGCAGGGTACAGAGGAATGGCATCCTGGGGGAGCCCAGCCTTCACCCCAGGAGAGAAGCGTCAGCAGAGTGTGTGGCTCTTACCCGGGAGCGGCCTCCACGAGGCCTGTCAGCACAGCCTCCATGGCCCGGTCCGGCACTTGCTCCACCAGGCGCCAGCAGACCCGCTGCCAGAGGCAGCTGCCCTGAGTGAGTGTGGTCAGCTGGGGCACCAGCACACCCAGGATCTCCCCTGAGGGACACAGAGGCCCAGGACCTTGGGATTTGCACTCGCCAGAGCAGTTGGGGGGCCCGTGGGGTCCAATGTGGAAAGTCCTGCGTGCACCCAGGCGGTGCAGCCAAGTCCCAGACCCCAGGACCAGGGGAGGGAGCCCCACAGGCAAGGGTGGGTGGGATGCGTGACCTTCCAAGCAGTCTACGTGGGACAGGGTGGGGAGCTGTACTCACGCTGTCTCCCATGGACACAGGCTTTCCCTAAGACTTGAGACACAAAGGACACAGAGCAGTCCAAGCCACCTGGGCAGAAGGGAAGGGGAAGGCTAATTTTAAAGGAGGGTGGTGGGAGGGCGTCACAGAACACCTACGTGGAGAGGGCTGGGCCTTGGGCAGGCAGACAACATGCTGCAAAGACACAGTCCCCTCAAAGCAGCAAGCGCAAGCCAGCCTGACTCCCACTAGTCTCCTGGGGCCACCTTTAACTTGAAGCGCCAGTAATGACCATTTAAAAAGCTTCGTACACATTCACTCCACCACCACCACGATCCGAGGAAGTTGGGCCAACGAGGAAGAGACGTCCGGGGGCTCAGCCCCACGGGGCAGACCTGGGCCCCAAGTCAGGCACACGACCCACATCTCCGGTGCCCCACACCACAGTGTTCTTCCTGGAGCGCAGGAGGAAGCTGGCCCCCTCGTGTCCTGTCCGGCCCCATGTGGCCAAAGCCTGGCCTCACCCAGGTCCCCGTGCTGACCTCCAGGTCCCCTTGTCTTATTTGAGCCCTCGGCGAGGAGTGGGCCCTGAGGTGACACCGAGAACAGGAAGTGGGCGAGCAGCACCAGCCCCTGGTTGAGCTGGGACGTTGGGGTTGGGGCCAACAGTAGGCACGAGCTTTGACACAGGCAATGTGGGGGGACAGGGGGGCTTGCGAGGTCAGGCAAGGATGAACCCCAGGCAGCCTAAGTGTGAGGAGACATGTCCCCGGGGATGCTGCGCATGCTGGAACCTCCTCGAGGCCTCAGCCAGCAGAATGGCAGCTCCGGGCCTGGAGCCATGCTCGGCAGACGAGGGGCTGGAGGCTGCCACGGGAACCTGGGTAAGGTCCAGGGCTTGGCCACGTGGGGCTGTGCCAGGGGACCCGCTTCCTCATGCGCTCCCAGGAGGACACTGCGGGATGGGACCCGAGGGCCTCCAGGGTGCTGGGAGCAAGGCGGGAGCACACGGAAGCAGGTGGAAGGGAGGCAGGCAAGGGCTGTGCGCTGTAGGGGAGCATCTCTCGGAGCCCAGGAAAGGTCCGAGAAGGAGGGGGCCACGCTGTAGGAGAGGCGGATGCCCGGCTGCTCTGTGGCCCGCAGCCTACTCCCACGAGGACGCGCATGGTCCCAGCCTGGGTCGCTCCTCACGCCTGAAAGGCACACTTGGGCAGGCTGGCGTGCTTGTGCTCCAGGGAGGACAGAACTAACCCGCCTTTTCCCACAGTGCCCGCGCCTGGGGAGAGTCCCAGTCGGCCATCACGCCTGCCTCCACACCAGAGCCCTGAGCCTCTCCACCTCACTGGCCCGCACAGGGCGGCCCCAATGCAAGCAGTGGCCACGGCTACAGGATGGGCCTGAGCTGGCGGGCCCGGCCCTTCTGCCTCAGAGCCCACAGGACCTCCCTGCTCACACAGGCCCTCTCCCAACGACTTCACAGAAAGTCCAGCCCAGAGCTAAAGGGATCAAAGTCAGCCCCACCTCTCAAGGTCAAAAGCCAAGAAGGACAATGCTTCGGTGTGTGTGCGACTCACTACTGTCCAAACCAGGGGATGTCATCTGAATGGAGGCTGGGAGACACTGGACAGGGAGGGGATGACAGCCTGAGACGAAAGGTAGAAGAGGGACACTCACCTCGGAGAGAGTCCACGACCGCCTGCAGCACCCGGACGACCTCCTCGCCGAGCAGAGAGAAGTAGTTCTGGGGAAAGAACTCGTCCAGATTCTCCCGCTGCAGACGGTTGCCCAGCTGATCGGGCAAGCCCACCACCCTGCTGAGCAGCGTTTCCCAGAGCTGGGGGAAGCCGGGCTGCCTCTGCCGCCAACACTGCCCCTCCATCAGTGCTGCCAGCCGGCCCTCCCTCAGGAACTGTGCCAGCAGCCGCGCCATCTTCATCAGACGGAAGCTGGGGCTGGACGACAGGAGGGCAGAGCCCCGACCCCTCCTCAGTGCCTCCTTCCAGTCACAAGAAACCCCAGCATGCTTAGGGTGGAGGGTACAGGAGGATGGCGGGTGCCAATTGCCCACCCATGCAGGGTGGGGCAGCAGAGGCTCAGCGTGGAGCTGGCGGGCTATCTCTGCCGCCTGGGATGTGCACACTTCCCGCATCCTCCTCCCACATGGAAGGAGAGGGAGGGGCAAGGGTTTTCCCCTGCAGGGGAGAGGAACGGAAGCCACTGTTCACATCTGGGATTCCATGTGCAGGTGCTGTTCTCAGAAGCTGGTGCTGAGCCCACAAGTCCACAAGAGGACTGGCTGGTTCCCGGGCCTGAGGGCCATCCTCAGGCCTCTGAGGCTGCCCTCACCCAATGAGACCCTGACACTCACCCAGCAATGCCCTCAATGGACTCCATCAGCACCAGGAAGGCTTGGTCGGCTGGGCCCTCCAGGAAGAAGCTGCCCCACAGTTCCTCCAGCCGGCCGTCAGGCACCAGCTCCAGCCAGTCTGGGCTCAGCTTGCTGGCAAGACATCTGAGGAAGGCGGCGAAGTGCCCCGTGGTAAACTCCTCCCTCTCCCCCAGCGGGGCTGCATTCTCCATCTCACCCAGATAGCGCTTCAGGGAGCCCAGGGTGGAGAGGATATGGCCCCCATCCTTGGAAGATGAAACAGTGTGAATGGCTTCCTGGACCTCAAGTCGGACCACCGAGGGCACCAGGTCCATCCTGCAGAACAGCCTGGGGCCACAGGGCAGCACAGAAGCCTGTGGCATCAACAAGGACTTGACCTGGGGGTGAAGAAGCATTTTTTCACACACTCCCTCACGACCTCCACCCTGGCCCCTGCGCAGTGGTCTCCCCGGGGACCCAAGTCCCTCCACCTTGGTAGCATTCAATACTGTCCTCAGCTCCTTCCTGTCCACCCACCTCATGCTGTTTTCACCCAAGGTCCATTTCTCAGCGTAAGGACTCCACACTACCCCTCACAGCAGGGCTTGTGCTCCCCGGGGACATTCTCAGTTGTCACAACTGGGATGCACTTGGCACGAGTGGGCGGTGGCGACCAGGGATGGTAGAAACATCCCGCTGTGCGCAGGGCAGCGCCCACGACCCTCCAAACCAAGTGTCAGCAGCGCCCACCGGAAACCTCGGTCAGGCCGCGGTCGGCGCTCCCGGCTCCCTAAGCAGCGACTATGGCTCGCGTGGCCGGTCCATTTGCCTCTCAGAATTCAGACCGTGTAAGGGGAGCACGGGTTCAGGGCCCTGCGAGACCGACTCCCTTCCCCAGGACCGCGTGTTCTGTCGCCGCGGAGCACCAAGGCCTGGATCCCGAGCCCAAGCCCCCACCCGGCGGGTAGCCGGGGGACCCGACCCCAACCCAGGACCCTGACCTGACCTGGACCTTGGCCCGACCCGAACCCAACCGACCCGGACCTGGATCCGGATCCTACCCCAACCCGGCTGCCCCGGCTCCCGAGTGGCCAAGGCGCGCTCAGGCACCGCCCACTGCCGATTCGCCAAGGCCGCTGCGGCCACGATACAAGCTCGGTCGCATCCCAGCCGCGCGGCCCTAAACAAGAGTTCCCGGGAGCGAACGGCGCCTCCGCGGGCTTTCCGGAGTCTTTGGGGCGGGACCCCGAAGGCCGCTAGCGTCGACTCTGCAGAGGACGCCAAGCATCTGCGCCTGCGCCTGCGCCTGCGCCTGGACGGGGGCGGGCCCGCGGGGGTGGCAGGACCTGAGGGGCGGGGCCGGGCGTGTGGGCGGGGCATGGGGACGAGGCGGGGCCGAGTATGTGGGCGGAGTCTGCAAGGCGGGGCGCGTGTGGGGGCGGGGCCTGAGGGGCGAGGCGGGGCCGCGTTTACCCGCAAGGTGGGGAGCCGGGTCACTGTGGTTAAGGGCTGACCCTTGTCTCTCTATTTCTTGCCTCTGGTTTCTGATTCCCCTGGAGTGATGTCAGCCACCCCCTCCCTCCGCCGCGGAACCCACATTCTCTCCAGAACGCCTGTGAGGGAAACGCGTGGGAAACAAGAAGGCATAAGAACTGTTGGAAACACTTTAGATGTGAATGAATGCAGTGTGTAAATGAGGTGGGGTCCTGGAATGAGAACTGTGTGTCCAGCACGGACCACTGATCTCACGGGGCGATGCATTAACTGAAATTTAAAGGTCCAGTTCCTTGGTGCACTAGCCACATGTCAAGGGCTTGGGCTCACCTGTGGCTAGTGGGCACCACACTGCACAGCACGGACAGGGAACATTGCATCCTGCAGAGCATTCTGTACCCGCCCTGAAAGTGGGTGGCTTCACCTTTGATGGAAGGGCGACCGGGGAGGACCAGCTAAGGAGAGGCCATTTCAGCAGGGACAGTGTGGGAACATCTGGGAAACGTTTATACGCTCAGCAAGCCTTCACTACACGTCTACTTGGCGAGCAAGCTCTCTTTCCGGGCAGCCAAGGAAGTCAACTGCTTCTGCTCACACATCAGGGTCAATAAAGAAAATGTATAACACGCCAGGTGACAAGTCATGGGGAGAAAAAACAGGCAGGGCAAGAAAATGAGAGAGGGTGGGGAGTGCCACTGAGGTACAGGGAGAGCTCTGGCCGACACTGGAGCAGCCCTCACTGTGGCCACACTTCAGGGAAAACTCTAATGGGCGGAGGAAACCTGCAGTATGGACGAGGAGGCACAACGGTCGCCAGGGTCGTGGAGCTGAAGGAGGCAGTGGAGGGGTGAGGCCTGGAGGAAGAGAGGCCATGGGCCGGCCACAGAAGGCCTGGCAAGGACTGCAGGTTTGACTCAGCAGTGGTCAGCTCCTGGAGGCTTTGAGGGAGTGGGTGTCAGGATCTACCCTTCGTGTGGAAGGTTCACGCTAGGTGCACTTGAGAGGTAGGGGGCAACCCTGGGTGACCGAGAAAACCTGGGCTTGGGAAAGAGGAGGGTGCTGAGAAGCGGTTGAACTCAGGGTGTTTCTCAGGAGGCAGAGCTGATGGGGGGTGTTGGGGAGCTAGGATGCCAGGGGGTACCTCTCTGGACTGCTCCAGGGGTCCCGTCATCCCAGGAACTCTTCCAGTCTGCCGCTTCCAGTGACCATGGCAGCTTCACTCCTTTAACCCACGTTTCACTGAAGACCAGCATCCAATCATGTCCCAGTAAAGGGGGTACACACCAGGCACAGTAAGGCAGGAGGATAGCTTGATCCCAGGAGTTCCAGATCAACCTGGGTCACAGAGCAAGACCGCGTCTCTACAAAAAAGAAAAGAAAAGAAAAAAATGTAGCTGGGTGTGATGTTGAGCACCTGCAGTTCCAGCAACTCAGGAGGCTAAGGCAGGAGGATTGCTTGAGCCCAGGGGATGGAAGCTGTGGAGAGCCATGCTTGTGCCATTGCACTCTAGCCTGGGTGACAGAGTGAGACCCTGACTCAAAAAAGGAGGGTGTGGCATGGAAGATAATTTTCCCTAAGCCTTTGCATATCGGAAAACGTCTTCATTCCTTGCTCCTGATGGATTCTCCCTTGAGCTAGACACACAGTCTCAGGTAGAAAGCATTCTCAAGCAAACATTGCCAGGTCTGCTCCTGTGTTCTGGTACCCCATGTTGCTGTTGAGATGGCCAGCTTGTCTCACGGGAAAGTCTCAGTCCTGTCCAGGTGACCTGACTCCTCTCTCTGGATGCTGTTAGCATCTTCTCCATGTCTGTGGTCTTCTGACATGACCTACTGAACCTTGGGGCCTGGTGTCCTCTGGTCTTGTGCCATCTTGGGAATGGTGGAGGCCCCTGTTGGGGACACCATCAGGGACTATCTTATGACCACAAGCTGGTTTGCTCAAACAACAGACATGCACCCTATCACAGTTCTGGGTGCCAGAAGTCTGAAACCAAGGCATCACTGTCCCTGAAGACCTGGAGAGGGTTGTACTCTTCCTCTTCCTACCTCAGGGACTCTGGTGCTCCTGGCTGTGGCATCCCCCACTCTCTACCTCTGTCTCCATACGGCCTGCCTCTTGGTGTCTGTCCTGTCTCTTATAAGGACACTCGTCATTTGATTGAGGGCCCAGCTGGATATTCCGGGCCTCATCTCAAAATCCTCCATTGCATCGGCAAAGACCCTTTTCCACGTAGGCCACGGTCATAGGTCTTGGGGTTAGGACTTAGACATGTCTTTGGGGAGGTGTCATTCAATGCACTCTATCTCCTGTGCCCCCAAATGAATTCAGGTTGTTCCCAATCACATTTCCATTGCCTTGCTGAGACACAGAGAGATGGGGCCTCCCAGGATGAAACTGTGCCTGGCCTGGATGCTGGATGCCCATGCAAACCTGGCTGGATGCCCACTGACCTCCCAGGCCCAGCCATGTTCCCTGTCCTGTTGGGGCTTCTTGGGAATATCGTCCATGTCCTCCTGTTAAAGCCATCACCCACATCCCCCTCTGAACTGACCAGACAACAGCTTAAACCTAGCAGAATGATTCTCCAGAGAAACTATTTGCGTCTGTTTTGATCTTGTTTCCTTGGGAACGTTCAGTTCTGAGAGCCCATGAGCCTGAAGGCAGATGCCTGGGACTAAGGGGGCAGGAAGTGCCTGATGTCCAGCCAGGGCTGAATAAGGGAAACCACTTGACTGGAGGGCTGGGGAGTGTGGCATGAGCTGACTCCACCTTGATAGCTTCTCTGTATGACAGGAGACTGCTGGGCCCCCTGACTCTCAGGATGGGTTGCCTGGGGAGGAAGACCCTGCCTTTGTTCCTTATTTTTGTGTCTATATATTTACATGGGGTTTTATTGCAGAAAGCTGCCTTAACAGGGCCAAGAAGACCGTATTTTGAGAGGCTCCATAGACTGGAAGAGCAGGCAAGTACACCCGCGACTTGGGGTAGTTGGTTTTTAAAACAGGTGACAGACAGAGAGGACAGATGTTACGGAAACCGTAAATATTGGTCTTTGGTAGACACAGACGTGGAGTCGGCTAATGTTATTTTCTCCTGTAGTTGGAAACCAACTGCCAGGTTTGCTGGGCTCTGCCCTGAAGGTCAGCCAGACGACGTTTGGGGACCGGGTGGGGCAGAGGCTGGAAGGGGACCTGAATGGCCTGAGGAGCACAGCTGCAGGTGCTGTGGTGCTGAGGCTGAGCTATGTTGCCAGGTGTGGGAGATGTTAGGTCATGGAGGGTGTGGCCCGCTCCCAGACTCCTGTGTGAGGTCTGTGGATGGTTCCTGAGTGCCCTGTTTGTGTTTGAACTGAACACATCCCTTCCAGTTTCCATAGAGCACGCATGAGGCCACCTTGCCGGCCCCCTACTCACAGGCGGGACCTGGGATCACAGTGAAGTGACTGGCCGGTGTCATCAGGGCCTGGGGCAGGGATCAGAGTCTGGGCTACAGACCTGGAATCCACACCCCACATGGTGCAGCTCCAGACCTAGGGTCAGCCACCAGCCTCCCTGTGCCTGGCTGGGTGGAGCTGGTCGTGGCCACGTCTCAAAGCCCTGATGAAGGTCAGACTGGTGGAAAGATGTGAGGTGTCTCCTGGGTCAGACAGCAGCGGGCACCCCAGCAGTAGGAGGAGAAGCTTTCTCTCGCTGCTCCCTGCACTGCAATTGCTGTGTGTTCTGTTTGCAGATTCGGAGATTCCAAGAGATGACCTTGACGCACCTGCAGAACATTGCCAGACATTTCAACATGTCCTATGACATGGACTACCAGTTCCAGAGTCTGGTGAAAGAGAACCAGGCCATGGCCCTGGCCATCAACCGGTCCCAGGCGGCCATGCAGGGGCAGCTGGCAGACCTCAAAACTTGGATGAGGAAGACCCAGCACAGAAGCCGGAAGGTGGAAGCCAGGCTGCAGTCCTTGGACCTGGCCCTGAGTGAGAAGAGCAAGCAGCAGGCTCAAGAGAGCAAGATTGGGCAGGAAGCCCTGTGGGACACACTGAATCGCCTGACACACCTCGCCCACAGCCAGGCCACCAGGCTGGCCACTCTCGAGCAGCAGCTGCAGATCACCAAGCTTGGCACCACAGCTGTGGGGCCGACCATGGCCCCAGCCACAACCCTGGCCCAGTCTGATTGGCCAAGCCCACGATGTCTGATGCACCAGGGGGGTGGGCAGGTGCTCAGAGCTCCTGCTGAACACAGGAGCCCCTCTCAGGACACTGCCTGTGCCTGTCTGCAGGGGACGCAGGAGGCCACAGCCCCACGGGGTCAGGAACGAGGAGAGAGTAAGTACCACAGCCCCTTTGGATGGCCAGGTTTCTCTTTTGGTCCCTTAGGCCAGCCCCTCCTAAAGACTTCTCACCCTTCCCATTCCACAGGGAGGGACTGGTCTGGCCCTGTTACTCATGCTAGGAACAGCCTGTCTGCAGGTCCCCAGGAAGTCTGGCACCTATGTATCTTACATGGGCAAAGGGATACTGCAGAAGGATTGAGTTAGGACCTGAAGATGGGGCCAGGATGCTGGGCTATCTGGCGTGACCAGTGCCATCACCAGGTCCTTATGAGGGGGAGGTAGGAGGGACGGTCAGAGAAGGACACTTGATGCTGAATGTGGAGGTTGTAGGGTTGCAAGGAAGGGGACACGAGCTGACAGACACAGGCACCCCTAGAAACTAGAAAGGTAGAAGACGGCTTCTCCCCTGGTGCCGCTAGAGGTAACCAGTCCTGCCCACATCTGGATGTGAGACCCATGAGCCCCGGGTTGGACTGTGACCTCCAGAAACGTAAGATAACAGACCTGTGCTATTGTAAGTTGCTAACTGCATAACGCTGTCTCGGGGCAGTGACAGGAGACTCTTGCCGGGACTCCCCGGCAACGAGGAGTTCTGGCTCAACTGTGCAGGTACAGCCCTGGCTTCCAGTGGGACCCAAACCCTCCCTAGTAGGACCCTCGTCCTCTATCCTCTTGTCTGTGAAATGGGACAATCACATCATGAAGATGAACGAGATGCCACCAGGGAGCCCTCGGCAGCATCTGCCTGGATTTGGTGCTCGGCGAAGGGTGGGCAGGGGGAATGTGAGGCTAGTCCCTCCTGTTCGAGGGCTAGAGCCTGCAGCATGGATGTTTTTGGATGCTTCTGCATGGCCTCATGGCCCAGGGCCAACTCTCCCTCCCTCTGTTTCCAGTTGGCATCGGGGGTCCCGTGCTCATTTTCCCGAATGCCTCTATCGAGAACGTGGTCTTCCTCAGTCCGAGCTTCCTCACGACCCTGCGAGCCCTGTCCATCTGTAGTTGGGTGCGCACGGATTCTGGCCGCCTGGGCACCCTCCTCTCCTATGCCACAGAGGACAATGACAACAAGCTAGTGCTGCATGGCTGGGATTCCATGTCACCAGGCTCCGTCCACTTTGTGATTGGAGACCCGGACTTCAGGGTGCTGCCCCTGTATCCACTGCTGGACAATCGCTGGCACCACATCTGTGTCATCTGGATGTCTGTCCAGGGCAGGTACTGGCTCTACGTGGACCGCAGGCTCTTGGCCACCGGTTCCCACTTCAGGGAGGGCTATGAGATCCCTCCTGGGGGATCCCTGGTGCTGGGCCAGGAGCAAGATAGTGTGGGGGGTGGGTTCGACAGCTCTGAGGCCTTCGTGGGGAGGGTGTCTGGCTTGGCAATCTGGGACCGGGCGCTGGTCCCTGGGGAAGTTGCAGACCTTGCCACTGGGAAATCACTCCCAACAGGAGCCATCCTGACACTGGCCAATGCCACGTTGGCGGGTGGATTCGTACAGAGGACCTATTGCCTCTGCCTGGAGTGCTGTCCCTGAGTCCAGACCCCTGCTCAGTCACCCTGGCATATTCCACCAAGACCCTACCACCCGTGCTGGCTGTGCACACCTGTGTCCACCGTAGGGGTGGCTGTTCTGTCCTGGAAATTCGGAGGTGGGCCAGAAAAGAGGGAGTGGAGAGAGAGGGCCCACGACTGTGTTCTTCTATCCCCGCTGCATTGTTATGCCTTCAAAGTGTGCCCCTTTAAAGCCACCCACCGCCTCGGTGGTTCCAGTGTGATGTGATTTCAATATGGTCCAATCCAGAGGGACCACAGTGCTGGACTCTGTCTGGTCTCTCCTCTGGACGTGTGTGTTTGCAGCAATGGAAGTCTCCTGGCCTAAACATCAGTTCCTGGGGGAGCTTTCTTGAAGCTGCGTGGATGGCATTTGGACTTTAATTACTTCCTCTCAAGGAGACTCATTAACATTTTCCTCTGGGTGATCCTTGTTCCAAAATTTATTGTGGAAGAACCTGAGTCTGTTTCCTGGCTCTCAAAAAGATGGCTCCTTCTCCAGTAGCCCTGGAGGATCACTAGAGTCCCCGAGCCCATCCTGCTCTGTGGTCCTTCGGTGGGTGGTGAGCCCTCTAGTGTGGGACCCACAGAAGGAGCTGGCTGTCCCAAAGTAAGCAGTCAGGGGGTCAACGATGCTCCAAAAACACCCTCATTGTGGGGAAACTTGCACATGACACAATTTATCTGTTTTAAGTGTTGTTCAGAGATTTGTGATAAATTTACTGAGTTTTGCTGCCATCACCACAATCTAGTTTCAGAACATTTTTGTCACACACCCCCCAAACATATTGTGCCTGTTACCAATCACTCCTGTCGCCACCGACCCCCTCCCCAGTGCCACCACTCATCTGTTGTATGTGGCTATGGATTTACCCGTTCTGTTTTGGACACTTCCTGTAAATGGAGTCATACAGTAGGTATCCACTTGCATGTGGCTTCTTTCACCCTGTATGGTGTTTTCCAGGTCTAGCCATGACCTAGTACTGGTCAGAGCTTCTTTCTATATCACAATCAAGTCATATTCCTTGGTACGGACAGACCACATGTTTATCCTTCATCTATTGATGGACATCCAGATTGTTTCCAGTTCCTGGTTTTTATGAATAAAGCTGCTTTGAGCATTCTTATACAAGTCTCTGTGTGGAGATTTATATATTTATTACGTCTTAGATATATATTATATATGTAGTAGAGATAGGGTCTTGCTGTGTTGCATAGGCTGATTTCCAGCTCTGAGGCTCAAGCAGTCCTCCTGCCTTGGCCTCCCAAATAGCTGGAATTACAGGCATGAGCCACCACACCCAGCTAGGATATGTTTTTATTTTTCCTGGGTAACTACACAGTAGAATTGCTGGTCATGTGGTGAATTATTGTCTGGATTTCAGAAAAGCTGCCAAACTGTTTTCTAAAGTTGCTGGATCATCTCACATTCCCAAGAGCAGTATATGAAAAATTTCTCAACATCCTTGTCAACACTTGTAATTGGCTGTCTTTTGACAACCTTTTTTTTTTTTTAAAGAATTCCAAATTAGCTGGGCTCGGTGGCTCAGCCTTTGGGAGGCTGAGGTGAGTGGATTGCCTGAGCCCACGGGTTCGAGACCCGCCTGGGCAGTGAGACCTCATCTCTACAATAAATGAAAAAATCAGCCGGGCGTGGTAGCGCATGCCTGTAATTCCGGCTACTCAGAAGGCTGAGGCAGAAGGATTGCCGGAGACCAGCAGGTCAAGGCTGTGGTGGCCGGTAGCGGCCACTGCACTCCAGTCTGGACGACAGAGTGAGACTCCAACTCAAAAAAAAAAAAAAGAATTCCAAATTATGGCAGGTTGAAAAAAATGTACTGACAATTAGAGCAAACTAGTATTGACGTTTCAGTGTGTTGTAAAGTGACTTTTTAAAACTGGAGATTCCTAAAGACTCAAAGACAAATCCAGAATGACAGAAATCCAGCAAAGCTGACAGAGAGACAGGACCCCAGGGGTTGTGGGGGTGGGTGAGGGGTTGAGAGCCCAGAGCCTCAGAGCTTGGGAAAAGGCCTGGCTCTCAGAAGTCACCAGCCCTGCCCACTCTTCTTCCTGTTTTAGAAGTGACTAAGCAGACTAGAGAAGTCCATGGCCCAAACCAGCGGGTTCACAGGAGACCCTTGCTCCGAGCACAGGTAGGTTCAGCTCCTCTGAGGCCTGGGCTCACGTCTGGCCACCTTCACCCACAGGGAGGCAACCGAGAGCACAGCCCTGCCCGGTTGCCCCCATGGGGAAGGTGCTCGAGCCCCTCAGCAACATCTCTGCAGAGCTGTCTGTGGACCCCAGCAACTCCAGGCCTCCAGCTCCAGGTGAGTCCAGCCCAACTCCCCAAGGTCAGAGAAGGCATTTAAGAACTGGACGCCATGCCTTAAGAAATAAGATTGACAAGTGGAATCTTATCAAACTAACAAGCTTCTGCAAAGCAAAGGAAACCATTAAGAGAGCAGGGAGACAGCCCAAAGAAGGGGAAAAAATATTTGCCAACTGTATATCTGATCAAAAGGCCTAACATCTAGGATCTACAAGGAAACCCATTGTCTTAGACTGTATGATCAGATTTCAGGAAAGGTTATGTAAGAGACTATGGTACTAACATGTCTCAAAGAAAACTGAAAACTCTCTGCATGATAGAGTGGCCAATGTTACCAAGAACTGGCCTCCAGAGGGAACTCTGGATGTAATCAAGATAAAGACTGTGTACTGGGTGGTAACTAGGAAGCTGGGCCACCCAGATCAGTTCCCATATAAAGATTCCTGGCTACAGATTGCATTAGCTCAACCCCCTTGGATAAGGTTTTGTGCTGCCAGGCAGGGACACAGTAGAATTCTCCTAGCCAAGACTCCACTTCAACCAAAAGATCAAAAGTGAGACCAAGCCAAAAGTCCACCAGTCATCCAGGGAGACCCAGATGACGAGCCTTTGTTGCTACCAGCCCCCTATATCACACCACTAATACCAGAGTTCCCCTCTTTGTCATCAGCAATATCAGAACCCTCCCCTCCACCAGGCACACCACTGCCATCTTTGTCCCCCCCACCGCCTGCAGAGCTGGACCAAATGGGAAGGTGCCTTTGCTCAACCTCAAGCCAGTGGTCTGCACTGCAAATCCTCCTGCATGAGATCAGAGGGCCCCAACAAGTGACACAAGAGGACAATGTCCAGGGTGGAAAATCTGTCTTCTATTACCAGCTGTTTGCTAGCATGGACTTGGTAAATTGGAAACATCATACCCGCTCTTACTTGGAAAAGCCCCAGGCCATAATCAACTTAGTTCGTCTGTCAGACTCATCTTCCCACTCGGGGAGATTGCTGCCAGCTCCTCCTAACCCTTCTCAATACTGAGGAGTGGGGATGAGTAATGACAGAAGCCTGAAAATGGATGGCAGGATGTGCCCCAAGAGACTTATTAGATCCTGAGACCTGGGTAAGGGGCACTTTCCCAGAGGAGGATCTGCATTGGAACCCAAACTTGGAGGGCAGAAAGACCAACCTAGAAAAATATTGATGAACCCTCCTGGAAGGATTAAAAGCAGTAACTAAGAAGTCCATCAATATGTCCAAGACTACCGAGGTACTCCAAAAGTCAGACGAAAGTCCCTGGGACTTTGATGAGAGACTTTGTGAGGCATTCCGATTATGTACCCCCTTTTACCCTAAGACCCTTGAGAACCAAGGCATAGTGAATGCTGCCTTCATGGGCTAAGCACAGGGTGCTATCCAAAGAAAGCTACAGAAGTAGGAAGGGTTTGCCGGAATGAACAGCACCCAACTACTGGAGATAGCCAACAAGGTCTTCACAAACCGAGAACAAACTGCAAAGAGGGAGGCTGACAAGAAGGCTGAATGAGGCAAAAGGCAGCTCTCCTTGCTGAAGCCCTAGGCCAACCAACTGAATTCAAGTCAAAGCAAACAAAAACAAAGCCCAGGACCCATGTCCCCTCACAATGGGATCAGTGTGCATATTGCAAGAAAAACTTAGACATTGGAAAAAGGACAGCCCTGATAGACCTCAGAGAGAAGAAAAAAAAATCTAGGAACAGAAATGAACACTGCCCCATACAAGACAGAACTCTCTGCTGCTGGCTTTATTGGGCTAGCCGGCATTGACTCAGACTGACAGACAGGGCTCAATCAACTTAGGCGCCCATGAGCCCATGGTCAAAATAAAGGTTGGGGGCCAAGCAATGGACTTTATGGTGGATACTGGAGCTGAGCATTTGGCTGTAACCAAACCAGTGGGGCCCATGTCAAAAAGAAAAACAAAATCATGGGGGCTACAAATCAAATGTTTTTTTGTGAAACCCGCAATTGCATCATGGGGGGACACCAAGTAAAACCTAATTTCCTGTATGTCCCAGAATGTCTAGTACCCTTGATGGGAAGGGACTTGCTGTCCAAGCTGGGGATCCAGATCACCTTCTTGGTTGATGGTCCCACCCACCTTGAACTGCTGGGACCCATGTGGCTGGTACCCCAAAGGACACCTCCTTAATTTTGTCGGTCACAATTCCCTGAGAGGAAGAATGGAGACTCCATTCCCAGCCTGCCACGATCATCAGCCTGACCCTGGAAACATGGAGCTCCTGCTTCCCCGGAGTCTGGGCTGAGAATAACCCACCTGGGCTAGCCGTAAACCATCCATCAGTAATAGTTGACCTGCTGCTCAGTGCCCACTCAGTAAGAGTCCCACAGTATCCCTTATCTCAGGAAGCCAAGATCGGCAACCAAGTTCTCCTTCCAAGACTACTAAAGTTCGGGCTACTCAGAAAGTGCCAATCTTCATGGAATACTCCTCTGTTGCCTGTGAAAAAACCAGGCACCAATGATTACTGACCTGTCCAGGACCTGTGGGCCATCAACCAAGCCACAACAACCATCCATCTGGTGGTCCCTAACACATACACCCTCCTAGGCCTCATACCTGCAGAGGCCCAATGGTACACCTGTCTGGATCTGAAGAC